ACATGATTAAACGTGGCTAAAAGATGGCTTATAATACAATTCCAAATTATGGAACATGTTTTTTCAATTTCCAATATAACTTCATACCTACAGATAAACATCATTATTTTTATTCTTGCTCTTTTTCTTAGAAAGGCAGTTTGTTCTTATTTTAAAAAATAAAAATATTTCCTTGGGTACTTGGATAACAAAATCATGCAATAAATCAGACTATTTCATTTCAGCAGTCTTATCTTTTAACTATAACCTCCAACAGGTGTTTGGTTTTATTAAAAAAATAAAAACCTCTTTTATTAAACAAATTAAACATCTTTTCATTAAAGGTGTGAAAAAGAACAAATATGTAGTCTATAATATAATGATGCAAGATAACTCTAGTAACAGAACTATAGGTGTCAATTTCAAGATTCATCAGCTAATATGTTTAGGAATTAATATGTTGATATATCTAATCCGAGATAATGAAAATACTGGAAAAGGGTAATATACTGAAAAAAGGGTAATATAACCCCCATTTTCAAAAAGGGGAAAATGGATGACCCAGGGAATTACAGACCAGTCTGTCTCATCTGTGTGTCTGGCAAAATCTTGGAGCAGCTTCTCCTGGAAGGCATGCTAAGGCACACAAAAAAAAAAAAACAAGGTGACAGCCAGCATGGCTTCACTAAGGGGAAATCCTGCCTGACCAATTTGGTGGCCTTCTACGATGCGGCTACAGGACGGATGGACAGGGGTAGAGCAGTTGACATCATCTACCTGGACTTGTGTAAAGCATTCGACACTGTCCCACATGACATCCTTGTCTCTAAATTGGAGAGGCATCAATTTGATAGGTAGAACACTCAATGGATAAAGAACTGGCTGGATGGCTGCACACAAAGAGTTGTGGTCAACAGCTGGAGACCAGTAACGAGTGGTGTCCCTCAGGGATTGGTGTTGGGACCGATATTGTTCAACATCTTTGTCAGTGACATGGACAGTGGGATTGAGTGCGCCCTCAGCAAGTTTGCTGATGACACCAAGCTGTGTGGTTCAGTTGATATGATGGAGGGAAGGAATGGCATCCGGAGGGAAGGAATGCCATCCAGAGGGACCTTGACACGCTTGTGAGGTGGGCTGATGCCAACCTCATGAAGTTTCACCATGACAAGAGCAAGGTCCTACACCTGGGTTGGAGCAATCCCAGGCACAGCTACAGGTTGGGCAGAGAAGAGATTAAAAGCAGCCCTGCAGAGGACTTGGGGGTGTTGGTTGATGAGAAAATGAACAGGAGCCGGCTTCAGTGTGCGCTCACAGCCCAGAAAGCCAGCCATATCCCAGGCTGCATCAAAAGCAGCGTGACCAGAAGGTCGAAGGAGGTTGATCCTGCCCCACAACTCTGCTCTCGTGAGACCTCACCTGGAGTATTGCGCGGGTTCTCGTGTTCTCAGCATAAAAAGGACATAGAACTGTTGGAACAAGTCCACAGAAAGGCCACAAGGACGATCAGAGGACTGGAGCACCTCCCGTATGAAGACAGGCTGAGAAAGTTGAGGCTGTTCAGCCTCGAGAAGAGAAGATTGCATGGAGACCTCATGGCAGCTTTCCAGTATCTGCTACAAAGATCCTGGAGAGGGACTCTTCATTAGAGACTACAGTGATAGGACAAAGGGTAATGGGTTTAAACAGGGGAAGTTTAGATTGGATATAAGGAGGAAATTCTTTCCTGTTAGGGTGGTGAGGCACTGGAATGGGTTGCCCAGGGAAGCTGTGAATGCTGCATCCCTGGTGCTGTTCAAGGCCAGGCTGGATAGAGCCTTAGGTGACACGGTTTAGTGTGTGGTGTCCCTGCCCACAGCAGAGGGGCTGGAACTTGATGATCTTAAGGTCCTTTCCAACCCTAACTATTCTATGATTCTATGAATCAAAATGTATTTAGGATTTGAGGTAAACAGATTTTATTTATCTATTATAAAATTGGGTCTATGGGAAACTGCAAAATATGAGATTTTTTTAAGGCATTTCAAAGAAATTTGCTGGCTAACAACTGGGGTTTAATCCATCCTCTAAAAACAGTCAGAGATTTCTCTCTGTAGATAAGGGAGTTGACCAGGCTAAAATCCATAAAACAAATCAGGCCAAAGACACAATAAAAAATCCAGAGAGTAGAAAACCTCATCACAGTTTTGCAACTGAAAATACTGAGTTTTACTTAAAGATAGGGTAGAAGGCAAAATAAAATGTTGATGGCTCAGAAAAAAAGTATAAAATAAGTTTTCAATAAGTTATCTAAATATTGGTTTTCTTCTCTCAGGGTGTCCTCAGCTCTTTATGTTATCAGTAAGAAAAGTCTATTAAGATGACACACAAGAGCTGTTACTAGTTTCAGAAATGACTGTTGGCATTGCAAAAATGGGCAGATTAGTGACTGTATTGTGGTTTCTTGTGCTCTTCTCATCCCTGGTAAAGATCAATAACTTGTCAAAATTAAAAGACTGGTTGTTAAAAGCATACCTTAGAGAGATTAATATTGGTGATCCCGATAATGAGTGATCCAAATAATTTTCCCACCTCAAGTGATATGTCCTACCATACAATTAACATGCCTTTCATCTAGTCTTAAGTAAATAGGCCTGTTAATGCCTTTTTAAAACAGGCAAGTAAATGTCTTTCTTGGAAGACTGATAATGGGCTGTACTGACCATCTCACACAAGCTGTCATCTTGAAAGTAGCCTACAATCTGTTTATAATTTTCTATGGAATTAAAGTCCTAAAGTTACTCAAAATGTTTATCACATACATGTATGTAATACAAGTTTTAATATGTTTAAAATTAAAAGCAAGCTTTCATTGTTGAATACGAAATGTATTACAGTTTACTCCCTGAATATAATTCTCCTGGCCTATTATTTGCAATTTAAAAATTATGTCATATCTTAGACAGATTTTATTTATCTTGGTCCTATACAAATTCTTTCTTGTGTTTTTTTCTAAATACTTTTTAATATTACTGTAATGCTTTGCAAAGAAAAATTGCACAAAAATTAATTGCAACATTTAGGCATAAGTTCTGCTCTTCTGAGGTACCAAGTGACAGCCCTGATTCTGTTTTGGTCAGTCAAATGACCTGTTGGCCACAAAAAGGAAATGTTGTCCAAGTAAAAACACTTATTTTCTGACATTTTTATGGTGTAAAGTAAGTTTTAAATGCAATATCAAAGACCTTAGTAGCAGCCAACTAAAAATAAGAACCAAAGTATGGTGCTGGGTACAACAACTGGCAGTATGATCCAACCTGCAAAGGAAAAATCGTTCAGCTTTCAGCATAAAATTTCAGAAATATGACACACGTTTGAGAAAAATCAAAACAGACCCCATATTTTATTAATTTTTGCCATTTTTTAAATACTTGTTTTCTAATCTGCCCTGAGTCCCTGTGCTGCATTTTAAAGTGTAAAAATATCTATTATAAAGTAGTTCTAAAATTTCCTAAAATACTCTACAGCTTCATCCTGATCGTGTGGCAAATTTGCAACTAATGTATTGCAAAACGCTTCTTCATTGTGTCAACTTACATAAATACAAGGCAAAAGAAAATGATGGAGCTATACACTTCATTTTCCCTTACTTAAAAGAAAAAAACACAAAACAAAAGACACCCCACTGCAACTGCCAACATGCGACTATGCAAAACAGAGAACTGGAAGTATTTATTTGGATGGATTAGATGGCCGACTCGATGCCCCGATAATGGTATTTTACCAAAAGTTTATCTTGGGGAAATAATAAGTATTAATACTGAGACAGGGAAGCACAAAAAGAAATATAATCTTTAGTAAATAAGTAAATTTAGTTTTGCTTTGTAGCTAAGCAATGTTGACCTTGGTGGTGAGTAATAATAGGAGGAAGGAAATATTTTGGATAAATGTTTCACAATGACCAGCTAGAACTGGACTAGTGGTGGGCAGCTTGACAATGGGACTTTCCAAACATGAAGTTCAGCTAAAGGACGAAGTGGTGAAGATGAAGATGATAAGGAAACTACCACCGGAGGTCCCAAAGACCCCGGTGCATGTGAAAATAGGCGTAAATCTATGTAAAGTAGTTGTGGGAAATGTTATGAATATGTATGTTGTTTACTGGAAATATAATGAATATGTATGTTAAAAAAAAACATAATCACAGCCTGATTGATGCTGGGACTAGACACATTAGGAGGATAGATCCCCTGTGTCTCCCAGCGCTGCAATAAAAAATACCTGCTTGTCAACTTAAACTTTGTTGGCGAGTTCTTGGCGAGCTCTTTGAATCAATACCCAGGGTAAATAAAAGATATTTGGAATATCTCCCACACCTTCACATTACGAAGGAGCTGGCTGTATGGTGTCCCTCTGCCCGGTAACCCTCAGTGCTCCCCTTTGCTCCCTCAGGGGGTGGCTGTGTCCCCGCTAAGGTGACGCTCATTTTCCCTGAGGCAGCCCAGGAAAAGGATTTACCTTAAGAGCGGCTGGAGCCAAGTCCACTCGTTCTTCACCAAGCCGAATGAAGGGTAACTCCGAGGACTGCCCTTTGTTTTCAGTTGTTTCTGAAAGCAAGTCTGAAGAGTCGCTCACCCTGTGGGAACAAAGAAACGTTTCTGCACTGAGCGAGGTAAGACTCTAAAAACTGAGGTACCAGAAAAACACTGAGGTACGGTGCCTCGTGTGAGGAATGCACGCTGAAGTTCAATCAATAAATTTTGGGTTTGTTTAAGAAGCGCAAGTAATTAGTAACAAAACACAAATAATGTATAGCAAGAAAGGAAAACACCTCCTATCTCACCTTCACCCTCGAAACACGTACACGCCCATACCAAGAGAGCAGGCAGCGCCAGTTCCCGGAATCCTCGTGTACTTCCGCCGCTCCGCCTGAGGTGTCTCGCGCCCTGGGCAGGAAAACCACGCGCGCGGCACTGGAGGACCGCATCGCCTCAATCCGGCAGAGGGCAGTGTCCGCCTCTGTGACGGGAGGGCGCGGGGGCCGGCGCGCGTGCGCCTGTGCGCGGGCAGCCATGGCGGCGCTGCTGGAGCACGAGAGCCAGGTCTTCTTGGATCTGTTCCACCAGGATGGGCTGGTGATCTGCGCCCGCGGGCTCGGCATCGACCGCCTGCTGCTGCGCTTCCTGCGCCTCTATTGCGAGCCTGCCAGCCTCGTGCTAGTGCTCAACACCAGCCCCGCAGAGGAGGTGAGCGGGAACCCTGACAGCGGCGCCGCGCTCCCCCCGCCTCTTCCCTCAGAGCCGGCGCCGGTTCATGGCGGCGAGCGCTGCCGGGCCCTGGGATAGGTTCGGCTCGGCCCGGCCCGGCCCAGGAGGAAGAGAAGGAGGAGGATCAGGGTGCTGCCCGCTCTCTCCGAGCCGAGGCGCTCCTCAGGCCGCGGGGCACCGGGGTGAGGCTCAGGCGCGGCAGCGGGCGCGTTCCAGCTCGAATCAGGGTCCAGTTCCCACTCTTGCGGCACGATGAAGTCCTGGTAACATTAGCGAGCTAAAATAAGCTTATGGACATCACTTGCACGTAGCAGAACACTAAGTGGCCAGTGAGCAGAAAGGAGGGAACACTTGTTGACAGATCTGTCCCTGCTTGTACAAAACCAGCCTCTGCCTCTTCCGTGCCACCCGCGGATTTCCCGCCGTCAGGGAGGTGATGTTCAGGGGGACTTCTTGTAGTGACCATGGGTGAATAAATATCACAGATGTAGTTTATAAGATTGAGCTTGATGCGTCTGACCTACCTGCTGTAGTTGTCTTTGGTAACAGGTGAGCGGACTAAAGAATGATTTCTTCCCAATTCTCGGTTTTTCAGTCAGTGTCAAAATTGCTTGTTCTCTGGAAAAGTGCTATTAAAATATATGAAAATGTAGGTTTCTGTGAGTGTAAGTTGCTCACGTTTTATTAAGTATTGCCTAGCTACTACTGAGAATACATAATTTTTAAATCACGTGGATGATTTGAAACTGAACAAAGTATACCAAAGAAGTAAAAAATCATGATAATTCTTATTTATAGTAAGCATATGACTTATATAAGTATAATTATATATATACTTATAGTATGTCATACTATACTATGGTTTGGACAGCTCCTTAAAATGAACAGAGTGTGTGTAAGTTTTTTTGCCTCCACTTCATCAGTTACCACAATGATGTGTTTTTATTGTGTTTGGTATAGGAGTATTTTATCGATCAGCTGAGGTCAGATGGAGTTGTTCATCTTCCTCGGCGTGTTACCAATGAAGTTACAAATAATACTCGGTATGAATTTTACACTCAAGGAGGAGTCATATTTGCTACAAGTCGAATCCTTGTGGTAGATTTCCTTACTGACAGAATTCCTGCAAACCTCATTACTGGTAAGAGTTTAATGAAACAAAGGTAAGACTTCTGCTTGAAAATACATACAGCTTAATTACATATGAAGAATTCTACTAGCCAGTATTGAGGTTGAAGAATTATTCTATTTTCTCTACAAAGGCTGAGGGGAAAAGAGCAAATACATAGTCCTTTCGTTACTTTTTAAAATGGTTTTCTTTGCTCCAAACTCGTTTGCCTTATTAAATCATGCAATTTGAAAATATCCACACCATTTTTAGATACTGGGTTGTGCATTTGGATGGCTTTCCAGTATCAGTAAGTGGCTGGAAAACAAATCAGTTAAATTATGACTGGCTTTCAAGAAGAGTAGTTGATTGCACTTGGTGAAATAGTGTCCTGTGGTCTATAGGACACTGGCCCATGATTAAAGCAGATTTTTAGATGTCATGTTTAATCAACCATGCACACTATGTATTTTTTGCATTAACAAGTCACTCCTGATTATTTTCCCCATCAAAAAATAGCAATATGTCACTAATTATTGTCTTGGCACACCTTGAACACTATCTAAGTAGCAGTATTATGAAGGAATTGTTGTTGTCATTATAAAGATTTTGGGGCTATCTTTCTCCTCTCATGTTCTGTTCTCTTTCTCCCCCAGCCTCTGTTGTTTTTTGTTCTTTTCTAAGCCGGAAACCCTGTTACAGCCCAGAGAGCTAGTAAAGTAGATACCTGAGAGACAGGAATATAATAATGTTTTATTGTTATCTGAATGTTAACATCCTAATGGCTAAACATAACTGAATATTGAATGCTTAGAAGAATGTGTGTGCTACAGAAGCTGTACCCTTTCCCTTTAGTCAGTGTCTGACAAGCTCTAATCTATAAAACATTTTGAACATTTTTATGCTAGAGCCGAAGGATACCACGTTTGTTAATTCTGGTATTTCTAGGTTAAAAAAAAGTGAACACATTTTCTGGGCAACCTACAATTTCTCTTCCTCCCCTTGACTCCTTCCTCTCTACCTTTCTTCCCTACCAAAGAAGGGGGGAGGAAAAAACCCCACACCTTTAGACTTTGTCAGTATGAAAAGAAGAAATACACAAAAGATTTTCAATAGTCCTGTCCAATGACAGCAAAGAGTTGTTAATAGTTTTTGTGTTGCCACTGGAGGTCAGTGTGACAACAGCTTTGATCGACTTGCTGCTTCATTTCAGACTTGGTTAACACATGGTCCTGTTGTAAATGTGTATTATCTGTGTGTGATATTATACAACAAAATTTACAAAACCCTGTAATCATGTTTCTTGAGGAGTTAACACATCAAAAGTTTTTGTAGGTGTTATAAATGTTGTTTATAAAATCAGTGTAAAATTACATGTGAGTTAACATCTAGTGAACACATAAATTCAGTTAAATGAAGATAAATTATCACTGCAGTAAAGAAGAATTATTCCTGGTGGGTTTGGCCGAACAGAAATTATGTACTTAATAGTGTACTCCAACTGATGCCAGTTGGTGTAGTAATCAGTGGCTTACGCAGCAGTATGAACTAACTTCCTAAGCAGAGATATATTGACTAAAAGGAAAGTATTCTGGTAAAAACATGTTCTTCCTGGCCTGATACAAATTCTGCATCTCCTTTAACGTTCTTTCAGAGTCATAACTTGACAAACTGGAAGATGAAGATCACAGTATCACAGTATCACAGTATGCTAGAGATTGGAAGGGACCTCGAAAGATCATCTAGTCCAATCCCCCTGCCGGAGCAGGAACATCTAGATAATGTTACACAGGAATGTGTTCAGGCGGGTTTTGAATGTCTCCAGGGAAGGAGACTCCACAGCCTCTCTGGGCAGCCTGTTCCAGTGTTCCGTCACTCTCACTGAGAAGAAGTTTCTTCTCAAGTTTAAGTGGAACCTCTTGTGTTCCAGTTTGTACCCATTACCCCTTGTCCTATCATTGTTTGCCACTGAGTAGAGCCTGGCTCCATCCTCGTGACACTCCCACTTTATATATTTCTATACACTAATAAGGTCACCCCTCAGTCTCCTCTTCTCTAGAGACCCAGCTCCCTCAGTCTTTCCTCATAAGGGAGATGCTCCACTCCCTTAATCTTCTTCGTTGCCCTGCGCCGGACTCTCTCCAGCAGGTCCCTGTCCTTCTTGAACTGAGGGGCCCAGAACTGGACACAATATTCCAGATGGGGTCTCACCAGGGCAGAGTAGAGGGGAAGGAGGACCTCTCTCGACCTACTAACCACCCCCCTTCTAATACACCCCAGGATGCCATTGGCCTTCTTGGCCACAAGGGCACAGTGTTGGCTCATGGTCATCCTGTCGTCCACTAGGACCCCCAGGTCCCTCTCCCCTACACTGCTCTCTAACAGGTCGTTCCCCAACCTATACTGGAACCTGGGGTTGTTCCTGCCCAGATGCAGGACTCGACACTTTCCCTTGTTATATTTCATCAAGTTATTCCCTGCCCAACTCTCCAGCCTGTCCAGGTCTCGCTGGATGGCAGCACAGCCTTCTGGCGTGTCAGCCACTCCTCCCAGCTTAGTGTCATCAGCAAACTTGCTGATAGTACACTCAATTCCCTCATCTAAATCATTGATGAGTATATTAAATAATACTGGTCCCAGTACTGGCCCTTGATGCACTCCACTAGTTACAGGCCTCCAACCAGACGTTCAGAAATGAGTATGCTTTTTATTGTGTCCTGAAAAATTTGCTTCATAGAAGAGATGTAGGAATATCTAGATAGAAAAATACCTTTTAGTAGGTTATTCCATAATTTGGTCACAAGTGGCTAGCAGTTATACAGAAGTCTCTTGTTGATGCTTTTTCATTTACAAAGCAAAGACGTATTAAAATCCATGGCTGGTGCTGAGTTGAAGAAACTTGTTATAGCAAGTAAATGCACTGTAAGTTTGTCAGCTTAAGTAGGCCCAAGTTAAAACCTGTGATGCTTGATGTTCTTTGCTTCCTTTTTAGAAAGGCATTTATTATTCCACTGGAAGCTGTGAACAGATAAAAGTACCACATAGGCTTCACCTCATGAGAGGGAGAGTGAAAAAATGTGCTGTTTAACACAGCCGAGCATGAGAAAAAATATTTTTAACAGGTCTTGTTTAACAGGTCTTGTTTTTAACAGGTCTTGGCTGAGGTGTAAATCCCAGAAGTATTCACCTCAAACACTTAATGTAGCTGAACTATTGTTTCACTTCTCTGTACTAAAACATTCATGAGAAAACTGTTTTTTCTAACACACCCATAGCCCTGAAGAAAACGGGTGGTCTACTCTTACAGTGGATGGTATTTTTTGTCCTCAAGTGTGAATATGAACAGCAGAAGGAGGGGAAAGCAAATTAATTTTATTCACAAGCTCTTTGATGCTGTAACACTTGAATTGTTACCAGTAGAATGTACTTGGCAAGTCTATAATTCCAGAACTGAATAAAAGAACAGAATAAAAGGATTCAAATACCACAATCTTGAACATAGCAAAGTTGCATTGTTGTAATAATGTATTACGTCTTGCATTCACTTTTACTCCTTTTAAAAGGCTTAAGTTCAAGTTTTGCCTTAGAAGTAAAGATTTTCTAAGCCATGTCCTAGTGGCTAAGTCCTGCCACTCAGGCACAAGCTTTGTTTTGGTTTTGTTTTATTCCTGAAGATGCATCATTAACCCAGTTTTGCTGCCTGGGGATGCCATGGTACTGAAATTAAGGAATCACTTGGAAAACGTGTTCAGTCACTGTAGAAGTTTTAAATTCCTATTGTACTTTATTTAAGGGAAAAAAAAAAAAAAGAGTAAGAGTCTTATGGGAAACCTATACAAAATTGGACCTTTCTTTACTTTGTGTAACTTCAAAACCTTTTCTTTTGCCAGGCATTTTAGTATACAAAGCACACAGAATAATTGAGTCCTGTCAGGAAGCCTTTATCTTGCGACTTTATCGCCAGAAGAACAAACACGGCTTCATTAAAGCTTTCACAGATAATGCAGTTGCATTTAACACCGGCTTTTGCCACGTGGAAAGAGTAATGAGAAATCTTTTTGTCAAGAAACTTTATCTTTGGCCAAGGTAAGGCACCTCTTCTTCACTGGAGGGTTAAATTTCTAAAAAAGATTCATGATGTTACAGTGGGTTCCTAAGAAAATGAGGTATATGCAGTCACACTGGTAAGCTGTGCTCCTCTTGTGTTCCCAGACAAATTACTTTCAGTCTTTGACAGAAGTAGTTTTAAAGATGCTAAATCTCTGTAAGTATTTTTGAAGATAGACCCAAATTAAAACTGTAAGGGGATGAACTTTATGGTATAGCTGTTCTTCTAGCCAACAGAAATCACAGCAGAGAGACATTCTTAATAGCTTAAGAAAACCTTCACTAATTGAACAGGTTGTTTAAGCCATGAAGTACCAGGAATACAGTCTTGTCAGCTCTGCCATTCCTGGAATATTTGTTTCCAACTGGTAAAACTCCAGAGCTCTCTTTCTATGTCAGATTTTTTTATCTTCTACATACATGTTGTATATGAAGAGTGTTTAATGATGACTCATAGAAACCAAATTGCCAGGCTTGTAACATGCACAAAGTCTTTCAGGAGCAGAGCCACAAATGGACCTTCAGCTTCGGGACCTGCTCAATGCTCCTGCCTTGGGCAGGAGGTCTGCCTGTTTGTTCCTTTAGTCCAGACTAGAATGTGTTCCACTCTGTACTGTTATTCTGCACTCTTTAACAGTGGTCTTTTTCATTACCACAGAGAAGTAGAAATGGTGGTAACTAGAATAGGAAAGGTTAAATTAGAAGCTTTGTAAATTTTCTTCCTTGGCTTCTGAACCATGAAAAGACCTGGGAGGTGCAGGATGCAGTAAGGGAAGCATCCAGTGATTTTCAGAGGTCCACAGATGCGGTATTCTCTGAGCCTCATTCTGTAAGGATCAGCTAGCACGTAAGTACCTGTACTGACAGGCTGGCTGTAAAGGCAGTGTTCTAACAAGGACCTGCTGCTTCTGATCAGTAGCTAAGAATGTCACAAACTCTACTTGTGGATCCATGTGATTCCAAAAGCTTTACGAATCCATTCCAGTTTCTCCCTTATGAGTTTGTTTTGGCTTTACTTTTTTCTGTGTAGTAATGATTTAGAATCTAGTGCAGTAATTTTCCATGGGTCATTCACCAGCACTATAGGCTCACGTGACTAGAATGACTACAGAGATAATTGTGGAATAGATGGTTTTCTAAGGCTCTTTGAGCTTTCATGTCAGTAGAAACTGATTTATTTTGCAATTAGCTTATTTGTTTATGTTTAAAGCAATTGTAATTGTAGTTTATACAAAGTTTGAATAATTGTAGATCAAACAAACCATCCATGTAAATATTAATTAGCTGTTTTCCTCTTAGATTTCATATAGCAGTGAACTCATTTTTAGAGAAGCATAAACCTGAAGTGGTGGAAATACATGTGTCAATGACCCCTGCTATGCTTGCTATCCAGACTTCAATCCTCGATATTCTGAATGCATGTCTGCGAGAACTCAAACGATACAATCCAGTTCTTGAAGTAGAAGATTTGTCTTTAGAAAATGCTATTGGTAAACCTTTTGACAAGGTAACTATTTTGATTGTTTTGGTGTGTCTAACCAAAGGGATTGTCCTAGGTTCAGCAGTAGCAGTCATTTTTCTCCTTCTTAGTAGCTGGTGCAGTGCTGTGGTTTTGACTTTCAGCCTCGGAACAGTGCTGATAATACCGATGTTTTCAGTCATTGCTCAGTAATGTTTACTCTGACCAAGGACTTTGTGAGTCTCATGCTCTGCCAGGGAGGAGGGGAAGCCGGGAGGAAGCAGAGACAGGACACCTGGCCCAAACTGACCAAAGAGGTATTCCATACCACAGCATGTCATGCCCAGTATATAAACTGAGGGCAGTTACCCGGAAGGGCAAGATCACTGCTCAGGTCAGGCTGGGTACTCTGGTTACTCTGTAATGATCATGTTACCATTGCCAGTAGGGTTTTTGTGTATTGATACTATTGTTCTTCTATCATTTCCAAAGTCCCTACAGTACCAAAATTGTGATTCATGATTGGTTGGGGTTTTTTTTATTATTATTGTTGTTGTTATTATTATGATGGCTGCAATTTTAGCTCAAAATATCTTACAGATAAGTATGCATTTATTTAGACACACATACCCTTTTCCCTCTTGAATTTCCTGCTTGTATTTTTTACTTTCTCTAGTAGGAGAAGCACTGTATGTAATACTTATTATGCACATATTCTATATGTCATTAAATGTGTGTGCATTGCTATCTTTGGCAGATCTGCAATGTTTGGCACATGTATGCTTTCTGTAGGGTAAAATCATGAACTTCAACCATCACAGTTACACAGAAACATGGTTATGTGTTATCTGTGATTTAATCTTGACCTAGGGCCTCCTGTACTTCAAATACCTGGAATCTTTTTTCTTACACAATGTAGGTTGTGTATCTGTGTAGTCCTCATCTTACTTTGAAAACTAAATGACGTTATATTGTTTTTTATTTAAGTGAAGGATATTATATACTAAAGTATCTAGTACCAGTAAAGACCAGTACCAGTAAAATAAGTTTGGGGTTTTTTGTTATTTTACCAGTATTTATATACATTTGCTAATTGATGAAATATCTTACATAAAGGCATCTATATTATGTTAACTTTGCAAAGAAATGATTGCTTATCAGAACAAGTACTTCACCATCAAATCTTCAATTGGGTAAGTTTAATAACTGGAAAACCATTGGCATCCCCTGTAAAGGAGAAAAAGAAATGCATTCTTACCTTGGTTAGTATATTAAATATTTGCCATCCTGAACTTTCTAATTTATATTTCTAGACAATACGTCACTACTTAGATCCTCTCTGGCACCAACTTGGAGCTAAGACAAAATCTTTAGTCCAGGATTTGAAGATACTACGTACTTTGCTACTATATCTAACTCAGTACGATTGTGTCACTTTTCTCAATCTTCTGGAGTCACTGAAAGCAAGTGAAAAAGCTTTTGGTGAGAATTCAGGTAAACAATGAATAAGCATACAAGTTAATGCATGAAACATTGAAATGTTGATATTTTTAATTAACATCCCAAACATATGAAGGTATCTAATTAGGCTTTACATAACCAGCCATAAGGACGTAGGTTTTTATTGACAGATAATTCTTTCATCTTCCCACTTAACTGCTGTTACTTAGAAGTGTGAGATTTGCATCACATTTCTGTCTGTTATTGAGCTAGTAACTACACAGCAAGCAGGTAGCACAGGTATTACTGATGAGAGATCAAGGCTTTTAATGGATAGGGCTGAAACAAGTACACATTGCAAATGTCAAGCTACTACTGCTTTCTTTTCATGTTTAGGTTGGCTGTTTCTTGACTCCAGCACTTCAATGTTTGTAAATGCTCGAGCTAGAGTTTATCGCATTGCAGATGAGAAACTGCATCAGAAAGGCAAAGGCTCTGAAAAAAGTGGTGTGAAGAAGGAAAATGGTACTGATCATTCCTAATTTTAAGTTGGAGAGTGTCACACGATCTCAAATGCTTTGCGTATTATTACTGGTGCTATGGTTCCCTAGATGGTCTTACACAGCTCAGGATCTCAACCTGTTAGCTGGGATAAATTGAGTCATAATCTTAATTCAAAAGCATATAATAAACAACATAAAGCAGAGTCACGAAAAGAATTAAAGGGTTCTTCTAAGCTTGTTCAGCTGATCATTGGGAGAGCTTTTATGAAATTGTTGTTGTACTACATTGGTGTTTAGCTTGATTTATTTTATGTGAATGAGTAGGAGGCTGCCATTGCTTTCATAAAAAAATACATATATTCAGGAGTTTCGGAATTGAAGAATGATTTAATACTTTAAATTTTGCTTCACTAAAGCACTTATCCCCATTTTTAAATGTTTCTGTAAGAGTGCTCTCCAGCCCATTAGCATAACAAGTTGCATATGTAGGCTGTTGAATATCATATTTGCCAACAGCCATCATGCTATTGACATCTAACCGCTAATTTAAAGTTCTGATTTTTTTGGCTGTAATTTTGTCTGTAAGAGCTGCTATGTTCAGTCTTTCTTTGTTTCAGAATTAAAAAGGGAATTGGTTCTAGAAAGTAACCCAAAATGGGAAGCTTTGAGAGAAGTGCTGAAAGAGATTGAAAATGAGAATAAGAACAGTGAAGACTTTGGTGGTCCAGGTGAGAGAATACTAAATGATGTTTATATGTGTTTAACTAAATGATGTAGGTTTGCACAGTACAGTAGAATTTGTGGACTTAAGGAGCTTATGCACATAAACTATGTAAAACTAAATAGTTTTACATAAACTTGTATCTATCTAGTTCTGGGTCTAAAGAAGAAATGCTGTTGGTTACTGCGCACTACTGTTTAGGAAAATAAAAGTATTATTACAAAAAACTATTTTGACTTACATTACAATGTTGTACTGGTACTTTAGTCTTAAAACCAGTGAACCTAATAATGTGGAAACTTAAAATAATCAAGATACCATTTGCTCATTTCTCAAGTTCAGGTTCAAAAAAAGGAGGGGTCCAGTCTTACTTCCTTTCCACTCATACATCTTCTGATTCTTCTCAGACATTTTCCTCATGCACCTGAAAATTTGCTTCTCTGGGAGATGCACCTAAATGGGGTAGAGAGTAGAAGGCAAGGATGCATCTAACTGCTTTACTGCTACTATTTTAGGGCTTTTCATCCCCTTAAATTTCACCAAGTTTTATTTTAGGAAATAGTAAGGGTAAAAAAGTGCTCTTTTCTCCCACCCACGGTGTTCTGACTCTGGATAAGAGCTGGCTCTCTCACCTAGTGTTGTAGGAGTTTATCTGAGTCAGCTTGTGGAAAATTGTTATTCAAGGCCCACAGATGTCAATAGTACTGTGTGTAACATGTATTTTTTTAGACTCTTTAACACAGCTGACAAAATCAGAATAGTCTGCATTAAGTTCTCTCATATTCTGCATTTAAAACAAAAAGTTGTCCGAGCAGGTTTCAGGACATGCTTTATCTGCCTCGTTTCAGGTGCTCAGAAGGAAAACCTCACTAATTTAGATGATATAAGAATAAGGAAAGCTGAACTAACATTCATCTTCTCTAACCTTGTTTGGTACAAAACATCATGCAAATTAGACTCCCTCAAAGTCCAGAGAAACTGTGACAACCAAATGTAAAGGCATTCGGCAGGCATGCCTCTAGATCATTAAAAACCATTTGCTCAAGAGGTGTCTTGTAGCTGGATAAGCAGTACAGCGTAACAGATTATAAATGTAGTATTGTTTCTTGACTGCAGGGCAAGTGCTTATTTGTGCCAGTGATGATCGAGCTTGTGCACAGCTCAGGGAGTATATTATTGCTGGAGCAGAAGCTTTTTTAACAAGACTGTATAACAAAACCTTTGGAAAGGATGAGAAAGCTGCAGAAGTGTGGATTCAGGACAGAAAAGCTGTCAAGTCCAAAGGAAATGCCAGACCAGATGGAGGGCCTCAAGCCAAAAAAGCCAAACTCACAGCTTCGTCAAAACAATGCAAACCCAAGAAGCAGCAAGACCGGACTATAATCCAAATGATAGGGAAAACTGAGGAGGAAAAGAGAGAGAAGGTGGAGAAGGAAGACAGCAAAGAATTAAGCAGTAGCCAAGAAAGCAGTATTGAAGAGAACATTCCTGAAGATTTCCATGTGAACTTACCCTCAGATTGTTACTATGGCATTTTCAAGAACCCGCTCACAATCATTCATCCGCTGCAGGGCTGCAGTGATCCCTATGCACTCACTCGGGTCCTGCATGAAGTAGAACCAAGATATGTTGTGCTATATGATGCAGAGCTGACTTTTGTTCGGCAGTTGGAAATCTACAAGGCCAGCAGGCCTGGAAAGCCTTTGAGGTAAGCTGACCTGGTCAGAGTGATTTTAGTCCTAAAAATAAAAAGTGCGCTTTGAGCAGTCAAGGCAGACTGTGCATCTCCTTATTTTCCTCAGCTACCTTTTAGTTCCTGTTCAGCCCTCTTCTTACTAAACAACAGCATAATGTCTGAGGTAACCAAAGGATGATTTTTACTTCCCAGCAGGTAGTTAGTCCCTTAACAGTAGAAACATATCTGAAAAAAACATTTCATTCCATCTTCTACAAGACGTCTGCTTAGATGATCTTCATGGCAGTAGATCTATTTTGAGGTGAGGTTGTCTCATTTTAAACCATCTGTGTAGGAATGATTTTTACACAATAAGCTTCATTTTGGATTTAATTAATTTTCACATTTCCTGATGTCTGGTCGTGCTGAAGACCAAAGTAATTCAGAAAGTTTAACAGGAAAGCAAGGAAGGGAAAATACACTAAAGAACATGAGAAGTATTTGCAGTTATACTCAGTTCTGAAGAACATGAGAAGTATTTTCAGTTATACTCGGTTCTGGAGTTAGCTGACAAAAATTTCCACACTGTGTATATATATATTTGATACACGTGTAATATGCAAAACTCATTTCATCAATAAATATTACAGACTAATTAAAAATGTAGAAAACTTATCTTTCATTTCCATAGCTGCCTAATACAGCTTTTCTTGAATACAGTGAGCTGCAGTTACACCTCTGTCTTGCTGAAAATAACTTACAGCAATTTCTTAGTTCTTAGAATAAACACACTTTTCTTTCTACAGTTGAAACACAATTTATTGACATATGCAATTATTACCTTTAGAATTAAAATGCTTTATACTTTAATCACTTCATGAAAATTATTTGCATCAATTTAAAAGAGCAGTTGTAATTTCCCAGTCAAAGATTTGTATATACGCACCATAACTGAAAATGGAGATCAATTTGGCAGGGTTCAGCATGTCTGTACGTGATACCCAGGTACTATATAGGGCTCTCTAGTGCAGATAGAAAGAGCAGAACTCACAAGCATATTGTATAAGGATAATTACTGGGTTATTTGTACAACTGGTTTTTAGTTGCCTGATCAGCATGTGCTGTATCTACCTCCAGCATCACATCCCACACTTCAGAGCAGGAAAATCAGATGCGGTCATGCAAGTAGGTCTTAGGAAATGCACTGCATCAGAAAAGTTAACAGGAGTAAAATCCTATCAGTCTGTCAGAGTGTATGAAAATATAATGGGAAAAAATATGCTGAAAAGCTACAGGCAATCAATTCCCAATTATTAATTCTTATATGTTCCATATAAATCCCTATTTGTGAAATAAAACGTTTGCTGGTGTGTTCCATCCCTGCTAGATGACAGCTTGTTTTTTCTAGAACCTATGATTGCCTTATACAAATACAGAATTTTAAAATCTTAAGATGGTGTTTTTCCTAACCCAGATGATTGCAATTTTTCCACTTTGTTACATGTACTCTACTTGGAAGATTTTAATAGCAATAAGAAAGTAACTCCTCATTCTACTGGCTGACTGAATTGCTGACTGCAACCTGAGCCTCCTCTGGTTGAATCCCAGAATTCCAGTGAATGTGTCTGCCACTGGAAGAAGAGCAAACACTGGATATAAGAATTTTTGTGGCTGATTTTGGAATGTCTTTACAGAAAAAGATAGTGTTTTTTCACTTGCCTTTTTTAAAGCAAATACTACCTTGTCAGGCGCTTAGTGCTACTAATCTTAAATACTGATTGTGGGGTTTTCTAACTTAATAGGAGGTTTTGTGATCCTTTTTTTCCTCCCCCAAACCTACAGAGTTTATTTCCTCATATATGGGGGCTCAACAGAAGAACAGCGCTACCTCACAGCTCTGAGAAAAGAGAAGGAGGCCTTCGAAAAGCTCATTCGGTAACAAAATTCCTTTATTACATTTGTTTCTAATGTTTCATGTAATTCCCTTATATGCTTATATCTTAAATAGAGTGAAGTTCTTAACTGTGTGAAGCCTTAAATAACTTTTAATTCAGTTGCTTTTCAGATGTTGAAAGCTTCCCCACTGAGAATTAATGAGAAGTCAAAACCTTCCTTTTCAAAGCACCTGATATTTCATTTATTATTTTTTTAATATTAAATTTGAAAAGCTAAACAGCACCCCTTTTATCTAATTGTCTATAAATTTAATTTCTATAAATGTTTTTTTGTCCACAGGTAACATTTCTTGTAAGATATTTATAAGGCTTTTATGACTTGGGTCATTTGGGGAAACAAAACAATACTTTTCATAGAATCACAGAATCCTAAACTAGTTTGGTTTGGAAGGGACCTTAAAGCTCATTCAGTTCCAACCCCCTGCCATGAGCAGGGACACCTTGCACTAGAGCAGGTTCCAACCTGGCCTTTTCTTAGTCTGTATATGACAGTATTGTTCCTGAGAGCGTCTGCTCACCAGGTTATACTGCCATTCCTAGTCATCAGTTCCTTTGTTTCATATGCCCTGAGAAGTTCTAAATATAAAAAATCAGATGCTAAAATTTGCTAAAAATTGAAAATAAAAATATAGCATCTAGCCCAACAATCTGGAGAACCTAGTAACCTGCATTTCTGATCAGGTTTTCAATTAGTATTAAACTATGTCTAATGTTACATCTGGTATTTAAAGGCATTAAAGTCCTTTCATCTATTTTTCTCATATAATTGCAGTCTTCAGTGTTTCTTTGTTTGTGGCTCTTTAGAGAGAAGGCCAGCATGGTTATTCCTGAAGAAAGAGAAGGAAGAGATGAAACAAATTTAGACCTAATAAGAGATGCTAATCCTGCTTCTTTTGTTCCTGACACACGCAAAGCAGGTGAGCAGTTCCTGAAGTGAGGCGTGCCGCCCTAAGCTTTAAAAAGACTTCTCACTATTGCATTTACATCCCATTCACAGTATCTGGGCCATAGACATGCTGCACATTGACTCTGCAGTCTTGATGGCAAAGAAACAGTATCTCCCTCACTGCATCTACCTCTGACTGTGCAGTGACAATGAATTACGTTTTGCTTTGAAAAGAAAATACAAATTAATGAACTATTTCACCATTAAGACTGATACCATTTGGATTGTTTCTAGGCAGCTTGCTGTTTACAAGACTGTCTAGTATTGCTTGTAGGGAGGTGGAAAGAAATTAAGACGTTAAAACTGAAGTCTACAGCTAGCCAAAGGCAGTGTCCTTGAGCTAGTAAATGTTGGGGACTTCCTTTGATCTTGGCAAAACAGACTGCCTGGGTAAATGCAGATTGTGGGGTTTGTCTACTTTCTTTGCAGTAAAGCATCTTTTTTCTTCTGTTGCAGTTCTAACCACATTTTTATTCCTTTCCTCTGACGTGTATACTCTGTCTTCAGCTTTACAACTCTGCCTCTCTTTATCTTTGCTGTCACTTTGTTATCCTGCTCTCCTTTACCATATGCTCTCTAATCTTTGCTGTTGTGTCTTTTTGGCCTTGATGCTGCAGTCTCTTCATGTATGCTTTTACAGATCTGTAGAAGCTAAAGCATAATTTTACAATAAAATGCCATGTTTCTGTGGGAATCAGCTGGAAATAAGGATCAGCTTTGCTACCTTGTTTGCAGGCAACTTTTAAAAGATTTTCCTGGTGCATTTAAACAATTTTCATCCACAGTTTAATGTATTTCATTGTCACGTATACAGAGGTCATAGGAGGTAGCATGATAGTTCTATTACACTGCAGAGCATACTCCATAAACTAGAGTACCTGATATGTTAGAATATCTGATTTTTTTTTTTCCTCTGTAACAGTGAAAAAGTAAGTGAAGTCTGGCTTTGTTATACTACTGAATTCAAGGTATAATTTGAGATGTGAAGCCCATCCATTTCAGAAGCATTGGCAGCACACAGGAAGATTACACAACCAGAGCTGGCAGTCATAACTCCTTGGGTTAACTGTATTTCTTTTGCTTTTTAGGTGGCCAGGAACAGAAGAGTATTCAGCAAACTATAATAGTGGATATGCGGGAATTTCGTAGTGAGCTTCCATCGCTGATTCATCGTCGTGGTATTGATATTGAGCCTGTTACTTTGGAAGTTGGGGATTATATTTTAACTCCTGATACCTGTGTGGAGCGGAAAAGTATCAGTGACCTGATTGGCTCCTTGAATAATGGCAGGCTGTATGCACAGTGTGTTTCCATGTCCCGTTACTACAAGCGACCGGTTCTCCTGATTGAATTTGATCCTAACAAACCTTTCTCTTTGATACCACGTGGCTCTCTATGTCAGGAGATTTCCAGTAATGATATTACTTCTAAGCTAACCCTTCTCACACTCCATTTCCCAAAGTTACGCATCCTGTGGTGTCCCTCTCCCCATGCTACTGCTGAGCTGTTTGAAGAGTTAAAACAGAACCATCCCCAGCCTGATGCAGAAACAGCGATGGCTGTCACAGCAGATTCTGAAATTCTTCCCGAGTCAGACAAGTACAACCCTGGTCCTCAGGACTTCCTGTTAAAAATGCCAGGTATTAATGCAAAAAACTGCCGTGCCTTAATGAACCAGGTTAAAAGCATTGCAGAGCTGGTGACACTGTCAAAAGACGAACTCCATAAAATCTTGGGTAATGCTGCCAACGCCACACAACTCTTTGACTTTATTCACCTGACCTACGGAGAGGCAGTATCTAAAGAAAAAAGCAAAAGGTGACTAATGGGATTGTTCAACATGGGGCATAGATAAGCTGTTCTTGCACAGTACTTTGGCAAGTACATGAACCATTTTAATAAATGCCCTCTAAGATAACCAACTGTTTCTTGCTAATGCTGTTCCATTAGTTTTGATTTTGAGTTAATTATTACTGAAAGCGAGTTTCAGGAGGAACAGAACAAATTTTAAATAGAGAAACATGAAGGCTATTTATTCTTTCTACAGCACTTCCACCAATTCTATAATATCACCAAATGAACTAAATTAAATTCTTCACCAGCTCCATGAGAATTAAGTGCTAAGATGAATTAATAAAGGTGTTTTCTTTTGAAAGTTATAATGTCTTGTTAAAGCTAAAATGTCCTGTCTTTTGATTAGCACATGTGACCTGCTGCATGATCTATAACTTTGCCTTTGCTGATTTTTGTTAACATCTTACTCTCTGGAAATTGCCAATTTTTGATTGACAGTGATGAGGCTGATGAGGCCTTTGGTCAGGAGTTCATTTAGGAGAACGCACTTGAACTCAATTATGAATTTTAGAACATCATTGTAGGCCCTTGTCACAGTAAACCACAATTGTATGATATATTCTACATTCTATTTGCTTACTTTAGGAGAAATTATGCTTTCTTTTTTGACATTCCAAAGTCAGTATAGGTCTATCTTGCTAGATTTTACAAAGTATATTCCTTTGGTCGGGGCTGGATAGAGATTCTGTGATGACATGATGGAACTTCCCAGCGTGCCTTACTTACACTTTCAAGATGCTTTATTTTTTTAATCCATTTTGATAGCTTTCAGCTCAATCACTTGAAAGTGATAAATCTAGGTATACCATTGGGACTGTTCCTTTACACCAGAGCAGATTTCCTCTCATGAAATGCAACAGTTTTCTAAGTAAGATTTTCCAAAAGGGTTGACAGTTCTTCCAATATTACCTTCTTTCTGTGTCCTATTGCACTTGCATTTTAATGTCTTAAATAGACCATCTGTCAATAAATTTAAAAAAAAATAAAAATAAAAGTAAAGCCACTGTCACCTTTTAGCATTCTTTGTAGCGTACACCAGGGAAAAGTTCTGACAGACTCTGAAGGTGTATATTGTTAAAAACGTATTCTGCACTGACCTTTGATACGGAACTATGTAACCACCTGCCACTGCCAAAGGGCTGGTCCTGCGTCTTGACATGCTGATGTATTTCCATTAGCTCTGTACAGAATCATTACCTGTAATGACTTGCACATATGTATTTCTATGATTCTAATGCTGGCAATAGATCAACATAATCGCCATTGTGTAAGGAGAAAGTACTGATATTCTGTATGCAAGTTCAGTAAAATCTGTACTGTGCACTTTCAGGTTTAACGTTTGCTATTCATTTTAAGCATGAATTGATGAATTTGTTAACTTACACTCTAGGACTGAGGAGATTTCCAAAGTGAGCATTTTTCTGCAGGTGCAAATTTCAGTATTAAAAGATTAAAATGTGTTATTTATCTTGTTCCTCATTTGGCCATATTGATATCAGAACATTTTAATTTTTTTAGTGTGTGGTTTATAATAAAGATTTTAGTGTTTCTGTTGCCCTATATTCTTATTTGTTTCATTAAATATAAAAATAAGTCTTTCCATTAGACTTATTCAAAGCAGTAAGGTCACAAATGCTCAGGATTGAGAATGCCTGTAAAGTGATGCTAAGAGAACAGAAAATCAGAGGAAGAACAAAACTGTCCTGAATGCAAAGCCTGTAGGGCCTGATTTTGAAAAGGAGAGCTGACCAGCCTTTGCAAACGTGGCTTGTTCATGCATTTGCATCATTAAGACGTTGTATGAACTGTGGGTTTGGTTTGTTGGGTTATTTGGGGTTTTTTCAAATGTACTGCCTCTCAGCTTTGTCAGGTTTTTTTGCTTCGATATGTGTAAGTTGAAAACAAAGGGGATATGAGGAGCTTAGAAATTGTAGTTTTGTGTTATGTGCTAGATCAAAATCACATGATACAATTATGAGTATTTGCTAAATGTTTAGATTTAATTGTCTTTTGTTTATATATGGGGAATTTTTGTAAGGGTATTGATTGCATTTTTTTCAATGCAGGATTTTGCTTTTTCTTTAAAACAGCCACAAGTAACACGGTTGTATGTTGTTACTGCCCATTTGTGATTTGGCATTTTACCGTATAGTCCTTCTGGGGAAACAGGTATGAATTGTGAACAAAGGTGGAAGACATCTTGTCCCCTGAAACCACTTACTATGAAATAACCAAACCAAAGAGTTTACCTGTATGCAGACACCAACAAAGTGTTTGGGTGAATGACAGAAATCCCAAGTATGCATTCCCTGCCTTTATGGTGTTCTTTAGCTTCCTTTCATCAACAGTAAGGATATTTTGCATATTGTCATTGCTTGATGTTTTAACTTTGTGCTTTTTTATTAAACAAAAAAAAAAACCAACAACCTGCCTTCCCTTTGAGAGTGTTTCAGATTCTTTCTTACACCCAAACCAAGACTACGCATTCCAAGGCCACTGACTATATGAAACCAGAGGATTTCTATACTATTGAGAAGTTGCTTATTTCTACAGTTTGTCCTAGGTTTTGATTGCACTAGATTTCTTCCTAGAATAACAATAATACTCAAATCTCATAGGAACAAATGCACCTGATATTAGCAAATATATTTTGCACAGGATAGATTATGGTGTAGTTCCTATGTTTCTTACCCGGATACTATTCCTGCTAGAGGTGCCACTTGCAGTTTCTAGCTACACTTACAAAGGAGTCATTTTGTTTGCAGTGTTGCCTATGTGCAGTCCCTAATGAAACAAACTGCACCTTCACAATTGCTTTTTCTGCATGAACAATTTGGTGGCCTTCTATGATGGGGCTACAGAACTGATGGACAGGGGTAGAGCAGTTGATGTTGTCTACCTGGACTTGTGTAAAGCATTCAACACTGTCCTGCACGACATCCTTGTCTCTAAATTGGAGAGACATCAATTTGATGGATGGACCACTCGGTGGATAAAGAACTGGCTGGATGGCCGCACGCAAAGAGTTGTGGTCAATGGCTCAATGTCCGGCTGGAGACCAGTAACGAGTGGCGTCCCTCAGGGATCGGTGTTGGGACCGGTCTTGTTCAACATCTTTGTCGCTGACATGGACAGTGGGATTGAGTGCACCCTCAGCAAGTTTGCCGATGACACCAAGCTGTGTGGTTCACTTGATAAGCTGGAGGGAAGGAATGCCATCCAGAGGGACCTTGACACGCTTGTGAGGTGGGCTGATGCCAACCTCATGAAGTTTCACCATGCCAAGTGCAAGGTCCTACACCTGGGTCAGAGCAATCCCAGGCACAGCTACAGGCTGGGCAGAGAAGAGATTCAGAGCAGCCCTGTGGAGAAGGACTTGGGGGTGTTGGTTGATGAGAAAATGAACATGGGCTGGCTTCAGTGTGCGCTCACAGCCCAGAAAGCCAACTGTATCCTGGGCTGCGTCAAAAGGAGCGTGACCAGCAGGTCAAAGGAGGTGATCCTGCCCCTCTACTCTGCTCTTGTGAGACCTCACCTGGAGTATTGTGTGCAGTTCTGGTGTCCTCAATATAAAAAGGAGATGGAACTGTTGGAACAAGTCCAGAGGAGGGCCACAAGGATGATCAGGGGACTGGAGCACCTCCTGTATGAAGACAGGCTGAGAAAGTTGGGGCTGTTCAGCCTGGAGAAGAGAAGGCTGCGTGGAGACCTCATAGCAGCCTTCCAGTATCTGAAGAGGGCCTATAGGGATGCTGGGGATGGACTCTTCATTAAGGACTGTAGTGATAGGACATGGAGTTAAACGGGTTAAAACTTAAACAGGGGAAGTTTAGGTTGGATATAAGGAAGAAATTCTTCCCTGTTAGGGTGGTGAGGCACCGGAATGGGTTGCCATGGGAGGTTGTGATTGCGCCATCCATGGCAGTGTTCAAGACCACATTGGATGAGGCCTTGGATGACATGGTTTAGTGTGAGGTGTCCCTGCCCATGGCAGGGGGTTTGGAACTAGATGATCTTAAGGTCCTTTCCAACCCTAACTATTCTATGATTCTATGATTCTAACATGTAGAGTGGGGCTTTTCTGATACCAGCTGTATTGACTGCTTTCAAATTAATGCCCATAAAACTTACATGTAAATCAGTTGCATCAGAAATCACCACAGCTTATAAAATACACAGCTATACTGTGAAAAAAAAACAGTGATTCTCTTTAAAAGTAGGTAAGTTTTAAGCATGAGGATTGTTGTGTGAGGCTTTTGTATTTGCTGAGTGATGGTACAAACACAAATAATTTTTAAAAACAAAACCATTTGTCTCCAAAGCTTTCCTTAGTCATCCAGAATTCCAATTTTATCACTGTAGAATAGATTCCAAAAGCAAACATCTGCCAAAAAATAGTTATCAAACGAATACATGACTTAATGCCAAACAGCACAAAGAAATGTACTTGCCATGTGTGGGCTTTCCAGTTGACAACATTTATTTTGGGCTCCATGAGCTGGATGCTAGGAAGGTCTACGATCCTTTTAGAAGGACTATTTGAGGATGAAGCTTTCCTTTGCTCTTACTCAAAGACAGCCTAAACTAATATTCAGTTGGTCTTTTTTCTACAATTGTGGGTTTAAGAAATGCAGGGAGGGTCATTCAGAACATTCAAAAATTATTGCTCTGGAATTTTGTCCTACATTGTAACTACAACTTCTCACATGTTCACTCTTGACATAATAGCAAGAATTTTGGATATTTGCAGAATCAACTCAAGTGAGGCATAAACCCTTTTATGCTTTTCATATGAAGTCCTTAATCTTGCAGTGAAAATACACTCACTGGCAATATATGCACTAATTTTTCTTTATTTGCAATTGCATACACTTTTTTCCCCCAAAAGTCTGTCTCTGTTTTTATATATATCTTTTTTGCCAAAACTTACCCTCTCAAATAATATTCCTAAAATCCTGTTCCACAGTTGGCTAGCAAGCTAGTCAAGAATAGACAGAACTGTCAATAATATTTCTTACTTCTATTCTTCTTCTTAATTACAGTTTATTTTGAGTTCAGCTTCAAACCATGAGAAATAATGTCCTTCGTCTACCAGATGAGGGGGAAGAGTGAAACACCCAGAGTCTTTCTTGATGTTTATCAACTAAAAATGACTTAACTGTGATTAACAGCATGTTTGGTGAGGCTACTACTGGGTAGTTATTGGGCACACCTCTTGTAATCTAGAGGTGCTTTTTATCTTATTTTTAAATCAGGATTCAAGTCCTAATGGATGAATTTGAAAGACTGCCTGATTCGTGTGGTAAAGAATGATGGCAAAGACTCAATGTATTTGGTAACAGAACAAGAACCTTTAAACCTTCCCACCAGTCCCTAAAAGTGGGATTAGACAAAGTCACTGCGAAATGTGATCCAAAGTGTAGCTGAGGGGTAACTCAGAGCTACTGTCCTCCCTTTGGCTCCAGCTGATGAAACACTGACACTTAAAATTGTTCATTTCTTTAACTTCAGCTTCTCCTAATGCTCTTTAGGAACCAGTATCATAATGACTAAATAAAAACACTTAGCTTTTTTCCCCACTAAACTGATGCAGCTAACATCGTATGTGTGTGTATATACACACATATATGCATATATATGCATATATGTGTGCATATATATGCATGTATGTGTATGTGTATATATATACACATATATATAAAAGAAGGGTCAGAAAAACTAGTATTAAATGAGAGGGAACTGGAGGCTTCTAGAGGAAACAAACACTTCAGCACTATTCTATTATCTTCCCTTGTATTTCATTCTTGGAATCAGACAGTAGGTTCTGGGGGGAAAATAAAACTTACTCTATTGTAAAAGGCCAGAGAATGCACATGACTGACTGAGTGTTTTGATAAGGTTATACAGGGAAACAGTAGTCAAATGTCTTAAAGCTTCAGTGCCATTTTTTCGAGTACAAAAGGTGAAGGGTTCCTCTCCCAGCCTTTTCAATAGGAATAGCCAGGTCATTTTTTTACTTGAGTGTTGATCTGTATTTACAGGCCTCTCTGCAATATATTAAAAGAAGGGATATTCTCAGCTACAGAGTCTTGAAAACAGGGAAGAAATGTTCAGTTGTGAGGCCAGCCAATACTTTGCTAAGAGACGAATTCTTTAGTCTTACTGAACTTAGTAAGGGTAACCAAGGCTACTTACATTGATGTGGAGATTTGTTGTCTGAAGAGAAGACATTGCTGCAATAGATCAAAATGGGCCTACATACATACCAATTTTGGTGTGATTTTCCTGAGCATGGTAAAATTACCTGAATCCACTACTGCTATAAAGCAGCCTTGCTAGGAATATTAAATCTGGGTTAAGTAGATACTGTTTTCTTAGCTTACATTTTACCATAGTTCTGTTCACGAGAGCTTTCCTCTGTAAATAAAAACAAAGGTTTTGTTTGCAGGGCCCTCTGTCACTCAGCCTGACTTCTTTTTTCCTCCAACTTTATTCAAGAGCAATAAATCATAGTTATTAAAAAAGTCACCTTGTTTCTAAACTGGAATTACTAATCCTCAATGTGATCTTGAACTCCCAGCTGGTTCCTCAGCTCTCAGAATGGCATTTAGACCATTCTCATTTTTATTCTTTCTTTCTGCTTATAAAAACATAGTGCTCAGGTGGCAAAAAAAAAGCTTTGTAATTGACTTCCCATTGTTAAGGGCCACCTTTCTCACATACTTTTGTTCAGCAGATTACAATAGTCTTTTTATGGAGACTCCAAGTAAAACCACATAGAATTCTCTCTGTGAGATGGCAAGCTCACGGTTTACCATGAGCAAGGTCCAAGGAGGACTAAAAACAGTTTCAGAAACTATGCAGCTAGCAGCCACAGCTGGGACTCTGGATGAAGAGATTTTAGGCAGGAGCCTTACTGGAGGTTTTTTAAGAATGCCACAGAGTAAATTTATAATTTTTGAGGGTAGATTTTTCAAAATCACTACTGAATCCATCCCACATGTACTATAAATTCATAAAAGTTCTATTTTAAAATCACTATTCCCCCCTGCTGCAGCTTCTCTTTGATAACTATAGTTCAATGACTACAAATTCCATCAACCCAAATTCAGAAAGCGTGTAAGTATAGGCTGGAATATTACATCACTGGATTAGCAAGCAGAGAAACAAATTACTTCACTGATGCAGTGAAGTAGCTCTGGTTTCTCTCTCTTAATCATAGAATCACAGAATAGTTAGGGTTGGAAAGGACCTTAAGATCACCTAGTTTCAACCCCCCTGCCAGGGGCAGGGACACCTTACGCTAAATCATATCACCCAAGGCCTCGTCCAACGTGGTCCTGAACACTGCCGGGGATGGAGCATTCACAACCTCCCTGGGCAACCCATTCCAGTGCCTCACCACCCTAACAGGAAAGAATTTCCTTCTTGTATCCAACCTAAACTTCCCTTTTTTAAGTTTTAACCGTTACCCCTTGTCCTGTCACTAGAGTCTCTAATGAAGAGTTCCTCTCCAGTATCCCTATAGCCCCCCTTCAGATACTGGAAGGCTGCTATGAGGTCTCCACGCAGCCTTCTCTTCTCCAGGCTGAACAGCCCCAACTTTCTCAGCCTGTCTTCATACAGGAGGTGCTCCAGTCCCCTGATCATCCTTGTGGCCCTCCTCTGGACTTGTTCCAACAGTTCCATGTCCTTTTTATGTTGAGGACACCAGAACTGTACACAATACTCCAAGTGAGGTCTCATGAGAGCAGAGTAGAGGGGCAGGATCACCTCCTTCGACCTGCTGGTCACGCTCCTTCTGATGCAGCCCAGGATACGGTTGGCTTTCTGGGCTGCAAGCGCACACTGCCAGCTCATGTTCATTTTCTCATCGACCAGCACCCCCAAGTCCTTCTCCGCAGGGCTGCTCTGAATCTCTTCTCTGCCCAGCCTGTAGCTGTGCCTGGGATTGCTCCAACCCATGTGTAGGACCTTGCACTTGTCATGGTTAAACTTCATGAGGTTGGCATCAGCCCACCTCACAAGCGTGTCAAGGTCCCTCTGGATGGCATTCCTTCCCTCCAGCGTATCAACTGGACCACACAGCTTGGTGTCATCGGCAAACTTGCTGAGGGCGCACTCAATCCCACTGTCCATGTCAGAGACAAAGATGTTGAACAAGACCGGTCCCAACACCGATCCCTCGGGGACACATCCTCCTGGGTGAATGGAATATTACGGGGCCCAGGGGCACCAGGAATACTCAACTGCAGCAGAGGTCTGTGTGCCACAGACCCACACCATCATCCAGCTCTGCCATAAGCAACATCTTACAGTTTTTGTAACATTTTTCTTATGATGCTGTGTTTGTATTATTTTCAAATTCTCCATTCAACTTTTATCTTCCTTCTATTTCTCCCCTGGGATTTTCTACTTTTATTTCTTATCCTAATGATGTCTGTCTTTATTCTTGTCCACTTGTTTACCTTCAAGAATGCTGCTTAAATCTTGCTGCAATGATGGCAACTGAGTGCAACTACCCCCAAGTTCTTGGCAAGACTGTCTGCACTGGAGTCGTGTTCAGTACTTGACTGTCTAGAAGCTTATACAAAAAACATACTGCCCTTCAGTTTCATTTTGGTCTCAGGCTTGAGGCACATCACACTATAAGACAGTGAAGATGTCTCAACTGAGATTTGAATTGCAGCAATAAATCTGCTGCATTACAGTTTGTATAACTCTTACAGTAAATTAGGGTTTTCCTTAAATATTAGCATTGTACTGCAGATCACCAGCAGACAGAAGTCATAATTAAGATTTTCACTTTAATATTTACTTGACAGAATGTCTGATCACATACTAAGTCACCTGAATTTTTCCACAAAGTGTCATTGATATTAAATTGCGGTGGGTTTTTTTCTTTCTCAGCCCCATCAGCTTCTTCGGGATCCCTGAGAGATTTCTACTGGCTTGAACAACACATGCATTATTACCCAGATAGAGGAATTTCACTGATATCCACCAGGAATCTCTGACTTTCCTTCAGTCACTGTCCACTCTGCCAATAGCATGTAACATTACACGTACACATTTGCACGTGCAAATACACACACAGACATGAGCATCTGCTGTGTTGGGTAATATAAGCCTGCACATCTTCACATCCCATGTCTCTGAAAATGACCCTCAAAAAGTAGGTTAAGCCCATCCCTGTTTCTATATATAAACTGTTTGTTTAATTGGTGGCCTGCACCAAGAATAAATAATGAGGTAACTCTGAAGATCATTCCCAGAACAGTCAGCTGGGATTGCCTCTGCAAGCCAGAGCTGTCCCCTCACCTTTGTTGTGCTGTTTGGTGGCTTTGGGTTGGGTTTTCTAATGGTTTCGTTGTCTGAAGCTGAACAGCTTTTATCCAACTGCAACTATAGGATCAGTACAATATTTCACATATGAAGCATCCTGCATGTAAGTGAGGTTCTGGAGTGTTTTTTTACTGATTGTGAAATTGTTTAAAGTTCAAATCCTAAACTTGGGTCACAGATTCTAACCAGATTGGAGATGAGGTTCCTTCCATGCAAAAAAAGGAAAAAAAAAGGAAAAAAAAAATAAAAGAAAAAAAAAAGCTTTTAAGCACTCTTGGTCAACCAGGGAATACTGCCACCAGATGTTTTTTAAGGTGTCCTATTTACCTTAAGTAACAACAGTTTAAACTAGGAACTTAACTACAAATTCTATCTCAGAAGAAAAGGTCTTAAAAGACTTAAACAGATACAGTAATTCATTTTTCAACTATTTTTAACTCTTTAGCTGAAAGAGGTTATAAAGTTTTGATAATAAAAAAAAATACCTCCTGTTTTGCTCCTGTTATATTTTGTTTTGTTTCTTCTGATGTAGCAGAAGTACACATGGCTCCTCTGCATCTTGGTCTGTGCACTAACAAATAGGTAAGGTAAAAAGTAGCATGCAAAGTCCAGAGATAAGTAAAATTACTGCAGGCAACAGAGTAGACTTGCTCAGAGGCTTGCTGGTGATTTCTTATATTAATACAGGAATTTTTTAATGACTATGGACATCAGTAGAACTCATGTAACTTGACTTCAGTTGTGGCAGAAAGAATACAACCTCTAGTCAAATACCAAACAGACCACATGAGGAAAGTACCGTGCCTACTTGATAAATTAGGAAATTAAGAGCCTAATTCTTGGTGATGTATTTACTTTATCTCACCAACAGGGAGACAGAAAAAGCAAAGGGATATGCCCAAGGTGATACAGCAGGTCTATGATGAGGATTGAAACTAGCCACTGACTCATAGATCCATTTATACCTTGAAAGTTTTATCTTTTGCATCCCTCCATATGCTGTTGCTCTTCTGAGATGCTGTTATTACCAGTTTAAGGTAAAAGTCCTAATTTCAGTAAGTGTCTAGTGACACTGAGTAGCATACACTGAAGTTTCCCTGGATTCCTAGGACTGATGCATCAATTCACCCTAAGCCAAGCTCAGCCACATGCAGAAATGTTCTGCCATCTCCACTACAGCTTTGGGACTCAACATGACACCTATCCAATGGTGCTGACTCACCAATGAAACCTTTCTAAAAGCCAGCTTCACCTTACCATCTGGGTTGTCTCTAACTACCCTGTAGAGAGGAAAGCTGGGGACTGAGCGGCAGCATGGAGTTAAGAACCAAGAAGTTACTGCTTTGCTGCCAGACATTTTCAGTTCCAGTCCGTGTTCAAAGAGTAGGTTTCAAGTAGTCCAGATCACTCAGTTCAGGCTGGCAGGCAGGCTCCAGCTCAGACCTAGAAAATCTGAATTTCTAAGCAACCATAATTAGGTTGACCCTTATTGTTAAGGTTATGCTGCTTAAACCAGGAGATTCCAAAACAGGATCAGGGCCAAATCGCTTATGATCTGTTTCTATTTAGCTAAAAGGTTCGTGTGGACTTAATTTGCTAGTGTGTGTTAAGAAATAATGACTGAGTAGAAAGGATTATGAACACATTTGGCCTAGAGAGGAAGAGAAAATGCAGCCATCACTTCAATTTCGAAATGTCTTATTTCATCATAAGCTTAACTTTCAAAGCTGACATGGGGATTTTGATACATAAGGCCTCATTCTCAACTAATTACATCTTAACATCAATTTGAAGCTTGAATTAGCAGCTATGTGATGTTTCTTTTTTTTTTTCAGATGTGTGTAGATGCCAAATGGCGGATCTAGACTTCTTATAAGCACTGTATAAAATAGATTGTTATACAAATGAGAACTCTCTAATCAACTTGAGCTAAGGAAGATGAGGAACTGGGGGAAAGAAATGGTTATGCAACCCAGGAAAGAGGAGGAGAAAGGGGAGACTCTTCAGCAGAGGAAACCTGTGTCCTATCCCCTCTTCTTACATTAACACTTTGCCTGTATCTCCTTGCATTTGAGAACATGCAAAAATCTATGCTTTTTAGGAGTCAAAAGCCTTTCTTCAAATGCAGGCAAATACTGCATGCAGCAGGCTACTTCATACCAACTGTAAAAAAATAAATAAATAAATAAATAAATAAAGACAGAGGAAAATAAATTCAATTGCCAGTAAAAGAGATTAGGAAATAAGGTAAACACTAAATTAGATATACAATTATTTACAAATCAGTAGCTTAGATTCTATCTCTATTTCATTTTATGAGAGTGCATTATAAGAGTAATTGACCTAAGAAGAATTAGTATTTCCCAGGTCTTTTTCATTGCTTGTAACTGTGTTTATAAACTGTGCTCTGCCTTTCATAGAATCACAGAATCACAGAATAGTTAGGGTTGGAAAGGACCTTAAGATCATCTAGTTCCAACCCCCTCTGCCATTGGCAGGACACCACACACTAAACAATGTCACCCAAGGCTCTGGCCAACCTGGTTTTGAACACTGCCAGGGATGGAGCATTCACAACTTCCTTTGGCACCCCATTCCAGGGCCTCACCACCCTAACAGGAAAGTACTTCTTCCTTTATCCAATCTAAACTTCCCCTGTTTAAGTTTTAACCCGTTACCCCTTGCCCTATCACTACAGTCCCTAATGAAGAGTCCCTCCCCAGCATCCCTATAGGCCCCCTTCAGATACTGGAAGGCTGCTATGAGGTCTCCATGCAGCCTTCTCTTCTCCAGGCTGAACAGCCCCAACTTTCTCAGCCTGTCTTCATATGGGAGGTGCTCCAGTCCCCTGATCATCCTCGTGGCCCTCCTCTGGACTTGTTCCAACAGTTCCATGTCCTTTTTATGTTGAGGACACCAGAACTGCACAGTACTCCAGGTGAGGTCTCAGAAGCTATCTATTATCTGTTCAAGCTATCTGTTAACATGGGGAGAGTATAAAATTCTTGCTAACACTGAAGGATTTCCCAAAGATACCAAAAATTAATTCATTCATATTGAAATAGCATTCAAATATCTAAATAGTTTCCTAACAAAGTATATGCTGGGACTTTTTGTACCCATTAGTTGCATCAAGTAATATCACTCTGCAACATACTCATATATCAGACTACTTGCTTATCAAGACTATCCCAGTTTTTATAACTAGAAATCAGCCTTAGTTCCCAATTACTGCTATGCCAAAGAGGTCCAAAATTCTTAACATGGGCATGCACAATTCCCAAAAGAAGAACTTGGGCTTTTTTAAATCACTGGAACCAATATTTGATCATGAATAGCTCACAACACTGTACAATACTGTATCTCCACACCACAGGCAGTTCAGAAAGTGTGCCAGGTATAATTTGGTGGTGCCTGGGAATACACCATCTTCCCTATGCATCCACTTCTCTATCCAGTGTCAGAGAAACAGTACCAGGCAAGTCAAATCTCTGGTCCTTTGCAGCAGGTTATTCATAAGTACATTGATTATAAAGTCATCATCAACTTCCGTAACTCTACTTTTCTTCCTGAATCTCATAAAATGGAATCATGTAGCAGATACTGAGTAACCTGGTCTAGTGGAGGGTGTCCCTGCCCTTGGAAGAACTGGATGAGCTTTAAGGTCCCTTCCAATCTAAACCAGTTTAGGATTCTATGATAGATGTACAGATTGCATTTCTTCCTAACTGCACTTTTTGGCAACTCTGTGAAGCAGACACTCATTGTCTCTGCTATGTGAGGTTATGATGTGACTTAACACAATAAAACAATATATATCTGTGTTTCACAGCGCACTCCTTCAGAAATTTCTAACATTCTTCACTTTCATTAGTTCCTATTTACATATTCCTAAACACCATTCTACTATCTTTATTAAAAGGATTACCCTCTATGCTCGTTTACATGGATTTATATGCAACTGAAGCATACAACAAGGGAGATAGACAGTAACTTCTAGGCTTTGAAAACTGAAGTCTTTAAACATACTTTCATCAAGTAAGAAGCATGATCAATATATGGTAACTGTCTTTACCAAAAAAACTTCCTACAATCTGCTATTCTACTCCTAAGCAGTATCTTGGCTAATTCATGCTGAACTTTCTTAGCCCATCAGGCAGAGCAAACCAGTACCCCTACTTGAAGGAGCTTTGCTTTAGGGCCAAGAAGAAACAAAGCAAAATGTAACTTTTCTAAACAACTCCTATGCTACACCGTGTCAAATGTACATTTTAAAAGTTGACATTCAGCCAGTGAGGAGTACAAACACCCTATCAAAGACTTCCGATCATTTTTAAGGCAAGATTTCGTCTGGTGGCAGATACATAAATCTAACACTAGTCACCAGTTTATAATACAGTATTTATACTTCCACCCTGTGCATGCTGAATGATGGCAGTGGCAGGTGAATCAAAAAGGAACTTTACAGCTTCCCAAATGCTACAATCTGAGAATATTTCATTAGTGATATTTATAAAATATCTCTAAATCAAACTGAGGAACAAAAGCATCCCTAAACTCTTTGCAGGGACAAAAAAAAAAAAAAAAGGCAAACCTCTCCCTCCTCCTCTCCCTCCTCCCCCCCCCCCTCCCCCAACATACAAAGTCAACGTGTTAACAGGAAGGATGGATGGTGAATAGCGCTGTTGAGACAGAAGTGTGTGCTTAATACAACCCTTTACAGAAACTGCAGCCTGTAGCGTCCTGGCATCCTTCCTAGGACACCTTTTTGTCTGTCCTATTCCATACAGATCAGTACACATTACGTAGAGCATAGTGGTACAGAGAACTGAAGAAGCCTGAGCTAGGGCTGTGCAGCTGAATCACAGCTGCATCAATGTGCGTATGATAACAAAACTGGGTTACACGACTAAGCCAGTCACACAGTCCCAAAAACAGGGACATGAAAAGGATGGTGCTTAAAAGGTAGGATGAACATGAATAATTAATTTTCAACGAGTGCAAAATGATGTGATCACCTTCAGATTTCCCTCATCTGTTGCTAAGCAGCATTCTTTAGTCACAAGCTTTGACTTACAAAATGAACAGCAGCCTCCGCACATTTTGCTATTTTTACATTTAAAATTGTTCTTTTGCCAAGCTTTCATTATATTTCAAAATGCTCTAGAACAAAACCAAATGAGCACCGAGAGACCTGCATCCCTTGGGAAAAGACCTTAGTTACTACCTGGGACAACAGCTCACAGACTCTCCAGTCTCCAAAAAGGAATGGAGAGAGCCTCCACCTCCTAAGTACCAAAGCAAGTGCTCATATGCCTCTCAGGCCTGAGCTCTACATGAGAAATTGAACTTGCATCATGGAAAAGGCAAAAGTACCATACATATGGGTTTGTATATTCATCAGTTTCAAACTGTATAAACAAAATCCCAGAACTTTTCCTGCGGTGTGGTAAATTCATTGTATTAATTCTTTCAATCTGTACTAAGGATGTTGTTCAATGATCAGGCCCTGTTCAATGCTCTGGGCATTCTGACAAAATGAAATCAACTACCTCTCTGTGTGAGAAATTCTCTCTCATTTAATTAGAAGTAAAGGGCTGGCTGCCAATGTTCCAAAACTAATGTCAAACATCCCCACTTCAAGCACCCTCTCTTCAAAGGCCTTGATGCACTACCAGGGAGTTCAGAAATCCTTGCTCTTGAAGGCCAAGAGAAGCAATTGACAAAGAGTTCAGGATCTTTCACCAACCCTGGGCTACTAATAACCCACACTTAGATCCCATGTGTCTGCAGTTTAAACGCACTACACTAGTAAACAAAATGAATAATCATTCTAAAGTGTGAACTGACCATCAGCTCTTTTCTGACATTCATGACATGAACAAATCGTCAAGTAGAATAACATTGGTGGTCCTGCGGTGTACGTGGCCCAGAGCAGAAGATGCCTCCCAAGGAGAGAAAAGACATATTCAATAGTTACAGCAAGTTTTTTCCTACATTTCTATGGGAAAGGCAGAAGGTTTCTAGGTTAGCTAAACTGGCAGTAAGGTGTTAAATTAGACTCTTTCCTTCCTCATCTCTCTACTGGGTAGCAGTAAGAGAGACTATAGCCACCATCACCCGGGCTTCGTTTTTAGTGTTTTGGGTGTTTTTTTCCCACTGGCAAACGAATGACCAGAGATTCTGGAGTCCGCTGCCAAACCACAGAATGTATAGTCAGCTCTCTAGAAAAACATTTCCCAAAGGGATATCCTGAAAGCTTCTCAAGTCTCCCTGCCTAACTGTAGCAGCCTTTAGAGAGCTACTAATTGCTTCTCATACAGCCACTGGCCCAAATCCACACATTAGTCTATGTCTTTTTGTGTCCTTTCAGATCCATCAGCACTCAGAGAAGCATCAACTCCACCTGGCCCCGTCATCTTGTTATACCCCAAACTCTGTGCAGCTGCCTTGTTCTGCTGCTGCTTGGGTTATCACTGTTTTGGCAAGGAGTACTGCCCCTTGAAGAAGATTTGTGTTTTGTATACAGTAATGTACCAGTAAAATAGCTTTAACAAGCTGGACATTTATATTCACCTTCTGCCTGGGAATACCTGCAGACCTACACTTTACACCTACACAAGGCTATGTCCCAAGACAAATTTTTTGCAGTAGCAAGAATCAAGTGCCTTTTTCTCCCTTTTTTTGGTATACCTGGAAGAAAGAGAAAGTCTTTCTTTTCTTTTCTTTTCTTTTCTTTTTTTATTTTAAATCTTTGTTCACTTCTTTTTTCCCCACCAACTGCTGAGTAAAAGGACAGGAAGCAGGCAACATATCCTGCAGCCTACTGGTAGGTAGAATCCTGTTGCCAACTCAATTTTATCCCCATGAGACTCCAATTTGTGCAAAACTTCAGGACCATGTCTGAGACATGAAAGAACAGCAGTCTCTGGCATGCTTCCTCTTGCTTAAAGGAACAGGCAGATGAGGAGAATAGGGGCATGAGGAGGCAGCAGGGATGGAATACACACATGTTAAAAGGTGGGGCTGCACATACACAAGAGGAAGAACAGAGAAAAAAGTCTAATGCAGGCAAAATGGGCTGATACAGGGGGATGCAGGTAGCTCATAGGAAGAAACAGCCAAAAAAAAAAAAAAGGAAGCTACTAGGAGGATTAAAGTAAAGAACTGGCAGAACTGGATACACCCAGACTACGTGTACAGCTGGCAGATTGCAGTGAACTGTTTCTCTTGAGCCATACTCCTGGTTTCTGTTTTTTTAGGACATAACAAGTAACATTTATAGAGCAAATAAAAAAGTTCAAAAAACATAATTTGCTGGCTGGTTTGTTTGCTCTTTAATCTAGATAAAGTAAAAACATAGGTTCTAGGTTTTAAATTCTAGCATCATTAAACATTCAACCATCAAACATTAATGAAAGCACAGAATTTAAACACCATTAATAAATACCTATTTCTTGTGTCAGACTATTCAAGGTTTAGTGCAAGACTGAATTTACAATTAATATAAGTGCTGTTTATTAGTGGTACAATCTAATGTAGTGAAAGCCAATATTACTGAGTTTTAATTATCTTGTGAGATGTAACCCTAACTTTAATACTGTTTTCTTTTATGAGAAGCCACTGATGGCCTCCAGTGAGCTTCATTCAATAAGGTCAGCTTGACTACAGTTGGCAATGGAGACTAAAGCTGTTTGCAGGATCACTGCTTCCAGACATCGAGTCCCCCAGTGTATAGTGTATAATCACTGGACTAAAATCATTGCAAGTTTCTCTAGAGAATACAAAAAAAATTGTGGCAGAGATAAGGTCAGCCTACTGTTTCTGCAACACAGCTGTTTCAAATTAATAATGGCTTAGATACTTATTTAACCTACTCCTTTGACCAGTTCTTCGGTGGGAGGGTTTTGTGCTTTTTGTTTTGTTTTGTTCTTAGCTATGATGCTGATAAATGCTGTCTTTTTCCATTTCCTTGGCATACAGAGATAAGAACTGGTAGCGTGGTTTACACAAAAAATCCATCTAGACCAGCATCCTCCCTCTAAGAGTAGCCATCCAGGGACACTTCACATAAACATTCCCATCCTCTGTTTCTTACTGAACTTAAGGAGTTGCTGGTCTGTGAAAGAATCACCCCTTTTTAACTATGTTGCCATTCTGTAAGAGTCTTTGTAACCTGACTGTTAAAAGCTTATTCAGATCCAAATAACACTGTAACAACAAACCAGCTTATCCACTTCTCCCTCAGTCATTTGAAATAACTCGGAAATACCTTTGGAGAAAGCTCTTTGGAGAATGGAGTCATTTTTACCTTGCAGAGCATGTTTTGTCCATCTCCATCTTATTTTGATCTCACACCTTTAAGGAATGTATTGGAATATAATAATTACTATGACACTAACAGAAGCCATAGCACTCATCCTAGTTTCAAAACAACCTGCTCAATTGTAAGCTATCTGTACTACTGTTCTGTAATCCTGCAAAGTACATGGCAAAACTGTGAAATTCACTCAATGACTTCTACCAAGAAATTAAATATCTACCATCAAATACGTAGATGACACTTGGCTTTGGGAGATGAGGCTAATAATTGCATTTATTTTTCTGCAGGTACTCCCGATCTTTGAGGCTATACCCTGATTAAACTGATGAAAGAGCACAGATGATAGATATTTGCAAAAGTTAACATATCCCCTACTTAAGGACCTACTGAAAGAAATAGGGATTTATCTCGTTCGTAAGTGAAAATAATATTAGTAGAATGTTACTAGAAAGTTTCCTCTATATCTTCCTTTTCCCTCTAGCTTGGATGTGATCAAAATATTCTAACAAGCAATTTCTGCAGTCATATCCTGTATTTGAACTTCTGTTGAGCTTCAGTGTTAATTGTTCCTTTGTTGACTATGGATACTCCATAGGTATGCTGGGAAAACTGGAACTACATTCTGACAAAAATACCTGGAGCAATGAATAAGTATTATAAAATGCTTTTCTCAGCATTTGAATTCTAGTAATGTGTAATTAAACCTCTTAAAGGTTAATCGTTCAATAACATTCATGTTGAGCAAAAAAACCTCATACCCTATGTACTAATCGCAACCTGAACAGGAAAAAAAAACCAAAGTGCTTCACTGGTACTCCAGGGTAAAGACAGATCTACAGAAATCCTCTGAAATGCTTCATTTGTAATCTTGTGCAGAAGTTGATTTTATGTATACAAACATATTATCTTCAGTGCTTCAATGAAGGTGTATTTCCAAATCGTTATAAAGCATTAAGCTTTAAAACTTAAATTACTAATTTTTATTATAATGGTTTTTATAATTTACAATTTATAATTATTATTAATGATGCTTTAAGACATTCTTATGCCTATAAATAACAAAAACTATATTAAAATTCTTATCTTTAATGTAATTCATTTACATGGCATTTCTGTATAGAGGTGTAGCTGTACGATACACTTCATGTGAGTAGGTGCTAAGCGTATCTCTGAAACAGCATAAATTTGTCCGTTTTAAACTAAGTGCTTCAGTTATTTGTGTTGGCAGATACAGGGTTCAAGCGCTTTCTTGAGAATGATGTTCCAAATGAATGTCACAATGCCTGAAGATGAGGGCCATGAAAAAATACTACTTGAAAATGTACACTGACATTGTTTTTAAATTCTTCACTAGAGTTTACACAGAATGTGGGTTTATTGAGTGGTGTATATGAATTTTCTACCCAGAAGGCTAGTGTGATTCTTGTATACAGTTACTAAATATTTATATATCAGAAAGAGAAAGACTAGAAGACCTGCAGAATACAGGCACTGTAAGACAATCTTTCTATAAACAACAGTAGCAAGTTAATAGTCAATAAAATGATAAATAGTGAATTAGATGCACTGACTATTGCATTACCAGCAGTGACATTCCATATTCATCTGAAGCTATATATACAGGCAGCAGTGACAGCCAGATATTCTTAACAGTTCTGTGTAACAGTGTCTTCTCCTTATCAACCCATATATAGACTTGTTGGTCTACAAGACACAGAATAAATCCTCCCTTTTCTACTATGTTTGAGAAAAGAACTGATGCAAAGCTTCTTCAAAAAAAAAAAACAAATAACTGAGGTGTCATATGCAAGATTTTTACAGGTACATCTAAGACAAGTACACTGATGATTATACTCCTGCTGCTCCAGGATTATACTCCTACTCCACCTGTATTTGATATGACTTTGACGTGTAAAATCACACAAAACTGTATGGGTGAATTTGATAATTCTTGTGCTAATTTAAAGTTAATTACAGAATATTTTATTTTGTTTTAAATAATGATTTGTCTTTATTAGCAAATCTGAAACCACTGTTTAAAACTCTACAACCATCAAATTCTTTATATAAAACCTGTGCTAGAACTGAAAAGCATCTGTAGTTTCTGAATAACTTCTAAAATAAAATTTGGTGTAATGTCATTAAATAAACAATCCCTCCCTCAAATACACAGCTTACAATGGCATAATGAAATACATATTTGTTATAACTCAGAAGTACTTTTTGTTGTGAATTAATTTGGACATTAAAATATTGATATTGTGCCATTGTGTTATGCTTACTTCTACTGCAAGAAAGGGAATATAGAGTTCACTGTTATTCTTGGAGGCAAATGCTGAATGCTCTAGCTGAGCTTTTCAGTACTAAGGAGGAAGTGTTGTACACGTTCATGCCCGAGACAGGAAAGGTGGTGCTCAAAAGACAAGAGCTATTGTGTGGAGCTGGACAACTTCCGTAGAGTGATTTTATGGGAGAAACTGTTTTCAAGTAGCTACTTGCTGCTTTAAACGTCTTCCTTTCCGCTGGCTGGTATGACCATGTTGGTTTAGAAAGCACAAATACCTTCAAGACATGAGTCTCAACTGTGTTTAACATCAAACTTTTCACACACCTTTGCCACTGATACTATAGAATACTAGAAACCCAGAAAAAAAGTATTCCTTATCTTATGGAATACCTTAGAAGGTATTCCATAAGATGAACCATATCTATACCCTTTTATATCAATTAATTGGCAATGCCTTAATGCGTGCAGCAGTTGAAATCACCAGAATTACCTAGACTTCTTTGTGACGTTGAAGAGACTTTACACCTCTTGTACAATGATCTTGCTTCCCCATATTCTTTACACACTGTAAAGAGGTAATCTGCATTTCTGCATTAACTATGTAACTTCAATTCTTATAAACAAGATAGAAATATGATTTACATGTTACTATCACCGGAAATCACAGCAAATCTTTTTATGTTTCTGCATTTAAATGTGTTGGATAACTTAAAAGGAAAAACTAAGGTGAAAAAGCAAATTGAACTTTGTCAACATAATCCCTCTGTAGCAAAGGGATGTCTTGCATTTTCAGGAAAACAGAAAACAAATAGTTCTTTCTGACTAGAAACCATTCCAAAAGATTAATACAGCAAATATTCCTGTTAGTATATTTGAAGGAGAAAAAATAATAACAATTTCTTTGGCATAAATATCTGACATCCCATCTTCAGAACCATTCACACCAAAAAGTCTTTGCTAGAATTTACATTATAAATCTGTTCTCCCCCAGTTACTGTCAGGTTTGTGTGCACTATTGAATTTGTAGGCGAGGACTTTTTTCTTGTTTAATTATTAGTTTTCCCAGAACTCTCTATACCAATCTTTTACTCCCAAAACATTTTAAAATTGGAAAACTTCATAGGAGAGGGCAGCATCAACTATTTAGTGTTTTTGAAGGAGAATATACATGTTCTAGGCATGGACATTGGGATGACTTGATGAAGCCTGCTTGATTTGTCCTTAGGGAATAAATGTGAAAAACAGACATGTAGCTACGTTCAGCTGAATCCCTGTTTTTTGTGAAACACAAACATTGCTGAATAAGTCTGTAAACATCTTTAATCAAGCTCTACAGACTTCTGACCACATTAAAAGCATTTGTCCATGCAAAAAGGCCTTGAACTGAAGGTATTCCAATACTGGTTCTACTGTCTAGTTCTTGTTAACTGAATGAGTCTCACCTACTTCTCTGATATGTGCATCTCTTCCTGCTGGTTAACAGCAATAGCTGTTTGGTCTGATGTAATAATTTTTCCTGAATTTAGAGAGTCATTTCTCTCAGTCTGACACAATGATGCTTGGACACAATAAACATCCATTGAATTTGTAGGGTTATCATTTCTCTGTTTTAGTTTCATAAGTTTCAGGACCTCCTCCAAATAACATAATGGCAAAGCAGGAGCAAAATTTTAGCCTCTGAGCCATTACACAGCTTTGCTCCATTTTCCTGGAAATCTGAAATTTCAGATATACATTGGTTTTATTCAATTTAACATTAACTGTTTTGTAATCCTAATTTGATTACTTATGAAGCTATACATGAAGTACTTATTTGTAGGTGCTCATATTTCTGGTTTTTACAGCAGCCTCGCATCTGAACTGTTTCATTTGAAGGGTGACAGAAGTAAATCTGGAACAAATTATGGGTTTTCATGGTATCTTTACAGTTCATTGCTAAATTTCTGGGTCATTGCTGGGTTTAGTTTTTTTCTCAAATGAGATAAAATCTGATTAGCTAACTGTAATTTAGAGGAATGTAAGAGATATGCACCCTGTTTTAAAATGCAAAACAAGTAATAACCCTTCTAATTCATCTCAATAATTTGAACAAGTAATTTGGTGTTATTATTCTATAATGAAGCATATCAAAATGTCACTCATCATCTTAAAACTGTAAGAAATCAAAACCTGACTTCTCTTAATGCATGTATGTGTTAATAATAATTGGCCTGATGGGGTATACATACAGCATTCGACTAGCTGGGTTATTAGTCCATTTGCTAGTAGAATATTCAGTCCTGTGAGTTCCATGTTGCACAATACATGTAAGAAATTACTGTGTGTGTGATCACATTCTGCTCGCAGAATACATGCATATTTTTTCCAAGCGTTCATCACCAGGCTTCCCAAACCTCTTCTAAGGCATGGGGGCGTTTCCTCCTCGTTGTTTTGATGTTTCATCAAGTTCAGTCACCTCAAACGTTTATAGCTAAGCCTGAAGGGAAAACACACGAGTTACGAGTCCCACCTCGCTTAGGTGTGTTTGCATGGCGGAGGTTTGAAGCCACACCCCGAGTTTTGCCTCGAATTTCCAACTCGTGCGACGGCAGCACCTGAAGGAAAGCTCCGTGGAACCCCCCGGCCTCACCTCAGAAATTCTCCCTAGCGCAGGGCTGGGCCAGGCCGAGCCGCAGGGTTAGCCCGGCACGGCCACAGGCCAGGTGCGCTCAGAGAAGGTACCTGACAGCGGGCGGCGGTCACCGCCAGGGCGGACAGGGACACGGCAACGGACGGCGGTAGGGCACACCAGAGAGGGTTACCTCAGAAGTGGGCAGAGACCCCCCCAGCCCCAGAGAACAGCCAAGGACAAGGACAACCCCCCGCCCCCAGCTACGAGGGTGCGAATACCCGGATGCAGCCGCCCCGCCCGCGCCTCCCACACGTGTGAGGCGGCCGCAGAGGGCCCGAGCGCGCTGCCTCCCCGCCCCCGCCCGCGGGCCAACCGCCGGGGTGCGCACCCCGCCACCCCCCCCCCCCCCCCGAGGGCGGTCTCGGCCGCAGAGCTCGCGAGAGGACATGTCCGCGGCGGCAGCGGGCGATGGTGAGGCAGAGAGAGCGGGAGGGAGCGGGCGGCAGGGGCAGAGGCAGAGTGCGGGTGGACGGTTCCGCCGCTGCTCGGCCGCGATTCTCCATGCGGGGTCCGGGGGGTGAGGGGGGAGCCCCGTCACTTGACGGGCGGGTTGGCCGCGAGGCCGCCGCCGCGGCGGGGCCACAGGGCGGTGGGCGGCCCCCTCGAGACAGCGGTGCCCGCCCGGCCTGCGGTGGTCTGCGGGCCCACCCCGCCCGCGAGTGGCCTCCGTGAGCGCTGCCACAGCCATCTTAAGGAGGCTGAGGCGTGTGGGATCGCGCCTCGCCACCCTGGCTCGGCGCCAGCCTCTCGATGCCGGAATGGGGCAGGGCAGGGTCCCCACAGGGCCGGGTCCTGTGGACGGGCTGAGGGCGGCCGCGTCCCCTCAGCAGGGCCGCTTGGCGGGGGCTGCTCCTGTGGTCCCGGAACCTCTCGCATCCCGTTCGGAGGTCTGCCCGACCTGGCTTCTGCCGAGACCACGCTGACAGACTTACCTTCTGTTGCACTGCGGCCGCAGATTTTTATTATTATTACTAGTTCAGTAAGGCACACAAAATGCTGGGAGAGGTACGGGGACTGAGAGTAAAAAGGTATAACTGCAGGGCCTGGCCTTAAAAATAGGTGCATTGAAATGAAAGCTTTTTCCTTTTCAAAGTAGTGAAGTCGAGACCACTGGCCTTGGTGACCCAGATCACACAACCACAGCTTGTGTTCCCTTACCTGTTAAAAGAGCAGATGCCCTTATACCAGGCTGTTAAAGAGTTTGGTTTGTTACCTATGAAATACAGAGATTTTAGATGGTGCTTGGTTGGAAAATAAGTGTGTTGTCTGCAGCAGTTGTATGCGCAGATCTGTGGCTCAGGTGCACTTAAATCGACACGTGTGACGCTCTTTGGAGTGGAGGGAGCAAGGCAAAGAGCTGTGCTGCAGTGCCTTTCCTTTGTGCCAGCAAATAAATTTGCCTTCATTCTGTTTGTATGGGGTTTGTACTGGTTTCTAAGTATGCAGTGTAGAAAACTGCTGTTACACTGTCTCAGTGCAGTTCAGAGAGGTAATACTGGGACTTTATGGCTGCAGCAGGCAGTGTAGCTGAAACACAGGCAACAGGATTAAAAACAAACAAATTTAATCACGAAGTAAATATCAAAAATCTACCTTTTCATGCATATCATACAGGCAGCACCATGAAATCTCATGGCTGTCAATAAATCCAAAAAATTTACACTTCCGTCAGTCACCTTTTAAGAAAAACTCAGCTTACACCATTCTGAGTACAGCATGTTCTAAAGTTCTTGGTTATGGGAAGGCAGTTGCATTTCTTCCACATACTAGATCTATCCCTTCATAATGGAAAAATGCCCAGGTTTTGAATTAATTGATGTTTTGAAGCCTTCAACAAAGGTGCAGCTGGCATTTCATGAGATTAGTTTCTTAATGTTTGACATTTTATCTAGTTCCTTCCTGAAGTTTTCTTTCCTGTGTAATTAGTTAGGGCAAATTATGATTTTTGTGGTATAAACTTGCATTCAAAGTTCAACAGAGTGCTGTGTGGTAATCACACCAGTTATAAAGAAAATAAAAGCAAAAGCTGAAAGTCCTTAGTACGTTATTGGAAGTGCAGAGCGACTTTACCAGTTTGGCTGTATTTGGAGAAATGTGCAACACTGACCTTGATACAGGGGTATTTTTAAGAGCAGTCGTACAGTAACTTGAAAATCACCTTAATATTTACCTTTTTTTGATTTACAGGCTTCTATTGAATAAGTTACTATTATAAACAAGCTTGAAATGAGGGGCTTAATACACAGATATTCAAATAAATTGAGGGGTTTTATGTGTAAAATGTTCAGTGAATTGTAGCCCATACTTGTTAACCTAGAAATCAAACAAGATAATTGATGAAATTATGGATTAATATGATACTGAATAGGAAGTATACTTAATTATGGGTTTGAGGGTTTTGTTGTGTTTTTTTAAACAGTGTTTAGAAAAGTATTGGAAGGAAGAGGGAATACCTTTTATTGTAGGCCATTTCTTTTTTTAGACCTTTTGGTGTGCCTTTTTGGTCTTGGAACCTCTTCTTCTTGTGTTTTGGATTGTTTTTTTACATGTTTAGGTTTTAACCTCTTCCACTGATATGTATAGAAACCATCACAGCAGTCTCAGCCTTTGGGCATGCAAACTTTCAGATTAAGAAAACCCTCTGCTTGTTAGGATTCATCTTGGAACAAAAGCAGCATTGCGTGGCTGAGCCATGTATGGGACCTCTTAGGCCAACACTGATGGGTGCATAGCTCAAACTGGAAAACCCCATTAATGTTGTATGAAACAGCATGTAGTAAATGCCAACCTTAAAGATAACTGATTTTCTTTCTAACTTTTCTAAATTTGGTGTGCAGAAGGTTTACGTTGACATAATCATATGTGTCTGTAGATACATATATGTACACACATGCTCTAAAACATAAATGTTGATGACAGAACAAACATCAGTTATTACCATAGCAAAAAGCCAAAATGTGGTTATGGACATTTTCCTTTTTTGTTTAGAAAGGTTCCTTTGTATTGGAATCTGTAGAAAGCTAATACATATTTCTGTTATGAAATGATGTTATAGTGCATAGATGTAATTGGTGCTTTAACTTCCAAGTGTAAAGACATTCCAGCTCTAATGAACGGGACTTTAAGGAGCTAAGACTGGTCTTATATATTGCAGCTGAATTAAAAAGAGCACTTGTTCTTCCCAGAGGAAAGACAAATAATTAGTGTGTTAGAATTTGAGTAGTAATACAAAAGGTGCTAAAAAATTACCTTGAAATTAGTTTAAGTTTTTTTGACCTAGTAAGATACTTTAACATCCCCAATATTGAAAAAAAATTAGAAAGAACAACTTGTATTCTCAAGGTTTAAATTTCATAAGTGGAATACAGTATGCAACTTTTAAAATAAAGAATTCTCGAGACATTTTTCTGATTTTTGTTTTTCCTGTCTTTACTTTCCAATTGACCAGAAATGTGCTGAAACAGACACCACAGAAGGAGGCTAAAGATACTAGGTAAGTGCTGTATCTTACACTAAAACTTTACTTACAGGGTTTTTTTATAAAGCCACTACTTACAGTGAGCAGTCTCACTTTAAATTGTGCTGGGTATATAATCCTGTTAAAATGGAAGGCTTTCCAGAAGATATGTTCTCATACAAACAGGAATTTGGATATCAGTACTACCTGTGTTACATAAGCTAAGAGTAAGTTATTGTGATATTTTTGGTTTGCCATTTGATTTTAGTTGTTTTTAATCACCTCTTAGAATTTTGACTTATTAAATAGTCTTCTGTTGATTAAATGATATTTTCTTTTTTTTAAAAGGACTGTAATGCTTTTAAACCTTTACAAATTATGTTAGACTTTTTCTAAATGTTAATAGTTTTTGTATTGGTAGGTAAAACTTTGGCCTGTATAGCATTTTGTTGATTTTTGATTCAGGCTAGTACCAGCATAGCACCAGAGCATGTCACAGCACTTCCAAAGTGCACCAGATCCAATGTGTTTTGATTAAATAAATCCAGGTATAATGAGGAGAGGAAACTTCCTTCTTGAAGGGAGTTATGAAGAATGTTTAATGGCTGCTGATAGGATTCTGTTTCAGTAGGTATTAGGAAGGGACCCAAGCAGCTTCTTAAAATAAGGAACTTGGGTTATGTCAACTAAAACATTCTCATTTCTCTAACTGTATGCATCTCATGTTCAGTTGGTACCTAAATGGTGAAAATTGCAATCCTACCCCCTCCCTCATCATCTTTTGTATAGAGGAAAAGGGCTTTGTTGGGGTGAAGGGGTTGCTTTATTTTGGAATAACCAAGACAGAGCATCAAGCTTAAAGCCTCCCTGATAATTTCCACTGAGGCCCCTCTAAGGTGAACTAAGCTTTGGCTCCACCTCTTCAGAAAAAAACAGACAGTGCACACAACTTCCATGGTTAACTGCTCCAGAGAAGGGAGGAACAGCAAGATGTACAAAACTTCCTGGGTATCCACAGAAGGTGGGATATGTCTGGAGCATTGATGTATTCCAGCAAAGCCCAGAACTGTAAGGGTAGGCAAAAAATTAGCAGCTGGAAACACTTAAAGATGGGGAGCTTCCTTTAACCTGAAGGTAAAGTGTGCTTTAGGATTGCATTCAGGCCATGTAAAGAAGGGCCAGTTTGATTAGACTTGGCAAACCAGTTCATTTCATGTCCCTGCTTAGTAAATCTGCAGCCTTTGTTTCTTGCTGTGAATATAGCTGTTACTTTTTTAGCAGCATGCCTAAAAAAAGAGATCAACAACTGAAATTAAGCCTGTTCACACTTGACAGCCATGACTGTTTCATGTTTGCTTCTTTAAATGGAATTATTCTGTGTTGTGTTGAGCACAGGGAACCAATATTGCTGCCATTGTTTCTTCAGCATTTTTATCACCTGAAGTTCAAGAGCCTAAATTGCATTATATTTATTATGGAATAAAACTTTTTCAAACTTTTGTTCTGCATTAAAGATTGACAGCTTCTGTAAAACTACTCTTTGGGGTTGTTGAGGCTTTGTTGGAGCCACAGCCACAAAAATCTTCCATATCATGAAACTCCAAAGCAAATGCACATTACAGAATTTATTAAAGTGTTCGGATTACTGTTATTAAATCCAGATGTTAATGTA